CCCGGTTAGGAGAACTCTCTGCCCACACGGAGAGGGTTTTTTCCCCTCCGGATATTAAGGTTGGGCAGAGAGAGAGAGCGGGCGATGTCGGGAGCAGCGGACTGCTTCAGCTGGGCGTCGGCAGCGTTTCCTCCAGCTGGAGTCCACGTGGGCGTCGGAATCGGTGTGGCGGTGTTTTTTGCCTGGGGCACTGCGGTACGGCGATTTCCCAGGCTGAGGGGTTGCCCGGAGTGCTATGGGAGTTGCCGGATTTCCCAGGAGATCTTTGGGACACTGCCAGACCCTTTTGGGCGCTACGGCAGCAACGGTGGCGATGGCATGACGACGGCAGCTGTGATGGCAGCCCAGAGTGTCTGGCAGGGAGGAGACACCCCCCCGGAAGTTGGGGATGGGGGGGGCAACGAGGCCGGGAGATCATCTGCCTTTTGGGTTGGGCAAGGACCTGGCATGAGACGCTTTCAGATCTTGGGATGCCTCCATTGTTATGTGGGGGCTGGGGGGGGGGCTAGAGATAACTGCCCCTGTTTCCCCCCAATGCTTCTCTACCAAGACTATGCCCACCTTGGATTGTCGGCTAGCTCACTGACTCACCTGACGCCAAGTTTATTTTCATCTGAACTTTCCCTAACTGTGGGGAGGACTATTTAAATCTGAATGGGGGCTGGTACATGGCTCCATCCCATCAGCTGAGAGGGCTGGGCTCAGTTAAACCACCGTGAGAGGGTGGCTCTGATGTCGGGGCCCCTGGGGGCTGAACTGGGATGATATTGAATTCTTGCATCTGCCAGCAGAGGGGACCTGACCATCGGACCAACCGCCGTGAGAGGGCGGTTTTTGGACCTGAGCCCCGGATGCTGTGCTGTCTGCATTGGTTCATCGCTGCCATCTCACCACAAGAGGGGCTCGAATGGTTGATCGGACCTCCGTGAGAGGGTGGTTGGGTCTTCCCCCTTCCCCCCCTTGGACTGTGGTCGACCTGGAACTTGACTTCGTCCTCTGTTGTGAGGGGACAGTGGACCGGTCCTGTTGAAAATGTTTTTGAGACTCCCATTCCATGTCTCTCCCCTGGACCTTCTATATGGACCCCTAGGATATGGTTGCTCCCATCCTCTGTGGTCAAGATGTATTCCGCAGCGGAGCTTCTTGGTCTGCGAGACTACCCCCTCTCGCAGGCTTGGCCCTCCACTCTATCGAGGGCCTACCTCGATGACGGGCTTTGGAACCCCGAGAGGTGGCATGCCACAAAGAGGGGGTTGTGGGGTTTTTTAAAATTGTCTTTTTGTAATCTTTTAAGGGGCTTAGGGCGGGGGGTGGGGAGGGAGGGGCATAGGTCAGGCCCGTTACAGGGGCATGGAACGGAAGGCGGGGAGCGGGGTGTGGAGGAGCTCAGTGTGGATAGGGTGGAGGGCAGTTCTATCAGGACCGTGGTTGGGAGGGGCAGATATGGCGGGAGTAGGGGGCCACATCAGGTGGTGGGGGCACGCACCCGCTATCTCCAAGCGGTGGCATGCCTCGGCCCCCATGACTCTTCTCGTTTCCCCGGCTGTCCAGAGTCTCAGAGCCCAGGCCTTAGACTGATGTTGTGCAACGCCAGGTCCGTGGTTAATAAGGCCCCCCTCATTTGTGAGCTAATACAGGAGGGGGGTGCGGACCTGGCAGGTATTACAGAGACCTGGTTGGGCCAAGAGGGGGGGTCCCCCTCGTAGAGATGTGCCCACCAGGTTTCCGCGCATTCCATCAGCCAAGGGCCCAGGGCAGGGGTGGGGGGGTGGCGGTCGTTATAAAGGAAGGTCTTGATCCGAGGGAGGCCACTGTACCTCAGATAGCCGGATGTGAGTCTCTCCTGGTGAAGTGGGGCCATGGGATGCAGGTGGGCCTGCTGATCGCGTACCTGGGTCCCTGCCACGTGACAGCGGCCCTGCCCGAGCTTCTCAACGTTATTGCCGGGGTGGCGGTTGATACCCCCAGACTTTTGGTCATGGGGGATTTCAACCTGCCATCTACCGGTGGGGCGTCTGGGATGGCTCGGGAGTTTATGGCTTCCATGACAGCCATGGACCTGATACAATTAATTCATGGCCCCACTCACGCGGGAGGACACACTCTGGACTTGGTTTTTATCTCTGGTCAGTGGCGGAGTGGTCTGGATATAGGGAATATAGTTATTGAACCCCTGTCATGGTCGGACCATTCTCTCCTGAGACTGGACCTTTCGACCGCTGCACCCCACTGCAGGGAGGCGGAACCGACCAGGTGGTTCCGCCCCAGGCGCCTGATGGATCCTGATAGGTTCCAGAGGGAGCTTGGGCCAGTTCCTGAAACTCTGGCACATGACTCGGCTGAAGATCTGGTGGCTGCCTGGGATAGGACAGCCGCCGGTGCTCTGGACCGAGTCGTGCCTTTGCGGCCTCTGACCCGACGCCGAACCTGCCCGGCCCCTTGGTTTTCCGAGGAGCTGAGGGAGATGAAGTGCCGGAAAAGACGCCTAGAGAGTGGTTGGAGGGCGAGTCGCTCCGAATCCGACCGAACACTAGTTAGGTCTCATATTAAGACCTATCTAGTGGCGATAAAAGCGGCAAAGCGTAACCACTTTTCCGCTCTTATTGCATCGGCAGATAACCGCCCAGCCGCCTTGTTTAGGGTGACCCGCTCCCTCCTACATCAGGGAGCACGGGAGGACCCCTTGCAAGGGCAGGCTGAGGATTTTGCACAGTATCTGCATGATAAAATCGCTCAGATTCGGGAAGGCTTGGACTCTGACTGGGTAGATCCCGGCGGGGTGACTGAGGCTGGTCTTGAGAATGTTACCTGGGATGAGTTCGACCCTGTGACTCCTGAGGACGTGGACAGGATCCTGGGGAGATTAAACGCAACCACATGTTTATTGGACCCGTGCCCCTCCTGGCTGGTACTGGCCACCCGGGAGGTAACACGAGGCTGGCTCCAGAGGATCATAAATGCTTCTCTGAGAGAGGGTTTCTTGCCTCCCGCCTTGAAAGAGGCGGTGGTGAGGCCCCTCCTCAAGAAGCCTTCTCTGGACCCGGCCGTTTTGGCAAACTATCGTCCGGTCTCCAACCTTCGCTTTGTTGCGAAGGTTGTGGAGAGTGTGGTTGCGCGACAGCTCCCACAGTTCCTGGATGAAACCGTCTATCTAGATCCGTGCCAGTCCGGCTTCAGGCCTGGGTACAGCACGGAGACGGCATTGGTCGCATTGGTGGATGATCTCTGGAGGGCTCGGGACAGGGGTTGTTCCTCTGTTCTGGTCCTGTTAGACCTCTCAGCGGCTTTTGATACCATCGACCATGGTATCATGCTGCGCCGGCTGGAGGGACTGGGGGTGGGAGGCACCGTGTTGCGGTGGTTCTCCTCCTATCTCTCTGACCGGTCCCAGTCTGTGTTGGCAGGGGGGCAGAGGTCGACCTCGAGGCGCCTTGCTTGCGGGGTGCCGCAAGGGTCGGTCCTCTCGCCGCTCCTGTTCAACATTTATGTGAAGCCGCTGGGTGATATCATCCGTGGTTTTGGGGTGCGATGCCATCTGTACGCTGATGACACTCAGCTGTACATTTCCACCCCAGACCACCCCAATGATGCCCTCGAAGTGATGTCCCAGTGTCTGGAGGCCGTGCGGGTCTGGATGGGGAGGAACAGGCTTCGGCTCAACCCTTCCAAGACCGAGTGGCTGTGGATGCCGGCGTCCCGGTATAGCCAGCTGGTGCCATCGCTGGCTATTGGGGGCGAGTCACTGACCCCCACAGAGGGGGCTCGCAACTTGGGCGTCCTCCTGGACACACGGCTGTCTTTAGAAGAGCATATGACGGCCGTGGCCAGGGGGGCTTTTTATCAGGTTCGCCTGATACGCCAGTTGCGCCCCTTTCTGGATCGGGACTCCTTGTGCACAGTCACTCATGCCTTGGTTACGTCACGCCTGGACTACTGTAACGCTCTCTACATGGGGCTCCCCCTGAGGAGCACCCGGAGGCTCCAGCTGGTGCAGAATGCGGCCGCGCGGGTGATTATGGGAGCGACGTGGCGCTCCCACGTAACACCTCTCCTGCGCGAGCTGCATTGGCTCCCGGTGGTCTTCCGGGTGCGCTTTAAGGTGTTGGTTCTCATCTTTAAAGCGCTCCATGGCTTAGGGCCAGGGTATTTGCGAGACCGCCTGCTGCTACCGATAACCTCCCACCGGCCAATACGCTCTCACAGAGAGGGCCTCCTCGGGGTGCCGTCGGTCAGGCAATGTCGGCTGGCGGCCCCCAGGGGGCGAGCCTTCTCTGTGGGGGCACCCGCCCTGTGGAATGAGCTGCCTCCTGGAATACGATTGATCCCGGACCTCCGGACCTTCCGTAAAGCCCTGAAGACGTTTTTATTTCATCAAGCCGGCCTAGCCTAAATGGTCTTTAATTGGGATTTTAAATTTTATGGAATTGGGGTTTTAAATTTGGGTAGCCAATGATTTAATTCTTTTAATTATCTTAACTTTTGCATTTGTATGTTTTTTAATTTTGGCTGTTCACCGCCCTGAGTCCCTTCTGGGAGAAGGACGGTATACAAATTAAATAAATAAATAAATAAATAAAATAAAAGGACTACCTGTATTCTGGAGAGAAGTCAGTGGCTGAGAAGAGAGGGGGCAACTACATCAGTGTAGTTTGCTGACAACTCAAGGATGGATGGAGAGCACTTGAACTCAGAAATAAGGAAAGTCTCAAAAAGATTCAAGTTTGAATAGTCACTAAATGAAAAGTGTTGTAAATCAAGGACTACCTGTAATTGGTAGTTCCAGTTCATCCACAGCCTTCTTCTGCTCTATCCTTTCTCTGCCAATGCATCTTTTACCTGCCTTGCAGTTCCTCATCTCTGAAGGCTACCAAGCATATGCTAGTAAACAGGCACATTTGAAGGAAGTGCTATTGCAGAGAATGGAATGGAATGAACTGATTTCGCAAAGCTTTGATACATTGCATTACGGTAGAACTCTAGTGCCTTTCTTGTTTCCATAGGTCTGGTGAAGCTGGGCGTACACTGCATCACAGGGCAGAAAGTTGCCATTAAGATAGTGAACCGAGAAAAGCTTTCTGAGTCTGTACTGATGAAGGTAAGCAAGTCATATTTCTTGGTGTTATAGCAGGGGGGGTTGAGGGATGGGTGAGGGAGATTGGAGAAGACGGAGAAGACCAAAAGAGTGAGGCACTGAATCCACAATCCAGAGAGAAATAAATTGCATGCTATGCTTTCTACTCATCTCCAACTCTGCCTCTCACCTTCCTTCCCGTGGGAAGGTCAAAGTCTGATAAAAGTGGGACCCTTAGCAGAGATATCTAATTGATTCATTGTCTGTATTAGTGCCCTGAAGGAAGTTGCCAGTCAATTTCTAGCCACTGGGAAATTTGCAAAATTAATGCAATCTCTCACCAAGTTGTCAAGGCAGCACAGAGTGATGTTACTGAGGTGGCTTCTCCACTAGGCACTTAGAGCAACTTCATAGCAACCCCTAGCTGTCATTGAAGTTATATTCATCCTGCCCTCATTATTGCAATCCCATCAATTTGGCACAGCAATGGAGGGATGACTATAAAAGTGTTCTAAGTAACTGATAGGATTTGGGAGTAAATGATGATATAAGTATGATGCAGATCCCATGACTTTTAGGTGTTTGCATCCTACATTATGACTCAAGCCCACACTAATGTCATTTGTGCAATAATTCATGACACATATGTCCTTTTGGAAACTTCAAGGCTTTGCTGTGGATACTTGTGGCAGCAGGTTGGTAGTGGAGAAGGAGCAGTGGGATTTTGCTGACTAACAAAGGATGTGCAAAACATAGGCAGTTACTCTAAAAATGTATATGATCTCTATGTGAGAATGGCACAACCCAAAACAGAATCAGGGTTAGGTAACACTCCCATTGGGGCTCTAATATCCTTATCTTGGCCTGTTTGTTCAGACCATCTCAGTCTGTATCACCAGAGCAAATCTTTTCCTTGCCTTTGATTTGTTTTGCAAGGTGGAATAATTTCATGTGACTGGTTCAGCTGAAGTATTTTTGTGTACAGTAATACAGTTTTCCCCTTTCTGATGTCTGTGCTAATGTGGAAAAAAAACCCACTGAAAAGACCCTCCAAATACCAGATAGCTTTAGCCATAACATAAAGCAAATGGTAATTTGGTATTATTATTTTTAATTGGGGCAACTGCATCCCTTTTAAAGACTTTTAACTTGGCACGACAGCTTCCCCGGCACCTGGATGAAGCTATCTATCTGGACCTGTACCAATCGGGCTTCAGGCAGAGGTACAGCACAGAAATGGCATTGGTCGCGTTGGTTGATGATCTCTGGAGGGCTCGGGACAGGAGTTGCTCCTCTGTCCTGGTCCTATTAGATCTCTCAGTGGCTTTTGATACCATCGACCATGGTATCATGCTGCAGCGGTTGAGGGGGTTAGGAATAGGGGGCACCATCCTGCGGTGGTTCTCCTCCTTCCTCTCTGACCGCTCGCAGTTTGTGTTGGCAGGGGGGCAGAGGTCAACCTCGAGGCGCCTCACATGGGGAGTGCTGCAGGGGTCGGTCCTCTCGCCCCTTCTGTTCAACATTTATGTGAAGCCGCTGGGTGAGATCATCCGTGGTTTTGGGGTGAGAATCCATCAGTACGCTGATGACACTCAGCTGTACATCTCCACCCCAGACCACCCCAACGATGCCCTTGATGTGATATCTCGCTGCCTGGAGGCCGTGCGGGTCTGGATGGGGCGAAATAGGCTCAGACTCAACCCTTCCAAGACCGAGTGGCTGTGGCTTCTGGCGTCCCGATATAGTCAGCTGGTGCCATCGCTGACTATTGGGGGTGAATCGCTGCCCCCCACAGAGAGGGCTCGCAATCTGGGTGTCCTCCTGGATGCACGCCCTTGTCACCTCCCGGCTGGACTATTGTAATGCTCTCTACATGGGGTTCCCCTTGAAGAGCACTCGGAGGCTCCAACTAGTCCAGAATGCGGCCACGCGGGTGGTTATGGGCGCAACCCATTGTGCCCATGTGACACCCCTCCTGCGCGAGCTGCACTGGCTCCCAGTGGTCTTCCCGGTGCGATTCAAGGTGTTGGTTACCACCTTTAAAGCGCTTCATGGCATAGGACCCGGGTACCTTCAAGACCGACTTCTGCCACCAGTAGCCTCCCACCAGCCAGTTCGCTCCCACAGAGAGGGTCTCCTCAGGGTGCCATCAGCCAAGTTATATCGGCTGGCGACACCCAGGGGGAGGGCCTTCTCTGTGGGAGCCCCAGCCCTGTGGAATGAACTGCGCCCGGAAATGCGTAAGATCTCCGACCTCAGGGTATTTCGCTGTGCCCTTAAGACCCTGCTGTTCCGCCAGGCCGGACTATCAATGTAATGATTTTAAATTGGATGTTTTAAATTTTGGGGGGTTTTAATATTGAGCTGACATTATTTAATAATTTTAAATAATTTTAATTGTTGTTTGTCTTTATGCCTTTAATAGGCTGTACACCGCCCTGAGTCCTTTGGGAGAAGGGCGGTATAGAAATAAAATTATTATTATTATTATTATTATTATTATTATTATTATTATTATTATATTATTATTTAATCTTTAGTGAGATTCACAGCCTTTGAGGCTAGTTAATAGCTCAGCAGCTCGAGTCCTAACCAAGGACCTAGGAACTGTTAAGGTATCGTCGGAGGATGTTGTTATTATTATTATTATTATTATTATTATTATTATTATTATTATTATTATTTTGGAGAAAAAAAGCACCTACAAGTGTCATTGGTAGCAGAGGAGACGCGTACTAAATCTTTGCATGCTCTTAGTTGGCATTTGGTAAGACCCGATCAAATAGCCAGCACAGGAAAGCAAAACAAACCACAGAAAGGTTTATATCAAATTGAGTGCCTTGTGTTTGCCACTTAATGTCCTGGCAAGTACTTTGAGAACAAGCTGACTAGCTGATAAAACACAAGTGGGTGATAGATAAAGATCTTGCCTGAAGGCCCAGAGCAAAGGCTAGATGCCCAATTTCTGTAGCATAGTGATAGACTCAAAGAAATAAATCTTTATTTTTCACCTGTAGAGCATTTGCTTGTCCTTCCAGATTCATCGTAGTCATAAGTCACTTTTTTTCAATTCAGAGATGGGTGGTTTAGAAATATGAAATATAAATAAATAAAAGTAAACACTTGTAGCTCAGGTTTTAGATTTTGGCAGTGGTTTGCTCTCCAAGCTTGTTTCCATTTAGTTTCTGAATGTTTCGTTACCAGACTAGGTAACATCAGCAGCAGGATTTTCTTGTCCTATTCCTCATTCGTCAAGAAAATTCTGCTGATGATGTTACTTAGTCTGGTAACGAAACGTTCAGAAATTAAATGGAAACAAGCTTGGAGGGCAAACCACTGCCAAAATAAAATAAAAAATTCCATGTGATCTTAGTGACTCCTTAATATAGCTAATTGTTCCCTAAATATTCCTCTTTGTGCAGTTCAGTCTTCAACCAGTTTTTACAATTAAAAAAAAGTACAGTAAAAAAGAGAAGTAGTTTAGCACAACAATTTGTTATTGGGGAAGGGGAAAAAAAATAATAAGGCAACAAAGCAACATACAGTATCTAATTAAAAGTTTTGCACAGTGCATAACCTGGTGAAGATATCAGACCACATGATAGGTGAGTATAGGGTTAGCATCCTTGAAAATAATAAACATAAAATATTTCTGTGAGGTCCTCATATTTTGAAATAATTGGGTGCATTTCCCTTCCCTTCCTTCCCTTCCCTTCCCTTCCCCCTCCCTCCTTTCCTCTCCCTTTTCCAACGGTGCGTTTGTGGCATGGTGCTCTATTCTGGAGCCCATGGGTAAATCTTAATATCTCATACATTTGAATAGGATTAAATATGCTAAGACTACATAACCTAACACCCAGCTTCTTTGTTATAATAACTGTTTATGAGACATGCATGATTACCTGTGTCACAGCTATTCACTATTCATACAGAAAATGTTAGTAGTCTGCTCTTGATTACACTAGAATCTCCCACTCCCGGTGATGGGGTTTAGATTGACTTCCAGATGAATTTCTAATCCTAAATGATGCAATCAAGACCACTACCTGATCCAGCATGCTATAATATCCCTGCTTGATTAAACGATCTCTCGAGGGAATAGGCAATTTGCATGTATAAATTGCTTCCTTTTCTTTCCTGTTTGTTTATTTATCAAATTCATATGGCCACCCATCCCACAAAAGTGACTCTGAGAGGGGCGTATAACAAATCTAAAAAGTTTATTAAGAAACATCAGACTTTCATTATTGTAATAGTTACTAAAAACATCAAAAAAGCTGTAAAAGTCATCAAACTAAAAATGAAGGAAGAGTAGGTGGAGAGATGTTAATATTGGTCTAGCTTGAAGGACCCAGATATTGCAAGGGAAACCGTGTTTATGCAAAGCAGACCAAGGGCAATAGTTTTCCAAACCTCAAATTTATTTATTTATTAAATTTATATAGCTACTCATCTTACCCAAAGTGACTCTGGGTGGCATGCAACAATAAAAAAAGAGAGCATAAAAACAGTGAATGTGTATTTATTTATTTATTTATTTATTTTTAAATTTGTATACCGCCCTTCTCCCTGAGGACTCAGGGTGGTGAACAGCCAAGTAAAAGCATAAACTACAAACATTAAAATACAATTAAAAAGATATATATAAATTTGGCCCCATGATTAAAAACAATAACAGACAATTAAAAACATTTTAAAAAGTATTAGGCCAGCCCAGCTTGCTGGGAAAAAAAAGGTTTTAAGGGCACGGCGGAAGGCACCGAGGTCTTGGATTCTCCTTATCTCTGGGGGCAGCTGATTCCAGAGGGTAGGTGCCCCCACAGAGAAGGCCTTCCCTTGGGGGTCACCAGCCTACATTTATCTATCTATCTATCTATCTATCTATCTATCTATCTATCTATCTATCTATCTATCTATCTATCTATCTATCATCTGTCTGTCTTATCTATCTATCTATCTCTATCATCTATCTGTCTGTCTGTCTGTCTGTCTGTCTGTCTGTCTATATATCATCTACCTATATCTATCTATCTATCTATCTATCTATCTATCTATCTATCTATCTATCTATCTATCTATCCACCTACCTACCTTTCTATCTATCTATCTATCTATCTATCTATCTATCTATCTATCTACCTACCTACCTACCTACCTACCTACCTACCTACCTACCTACCTTTCTATCTATCTATCTATCTATCTATCTATCTATCTATCTATCTATCTATCTATCACAGGGGTGTCAAACTCAAGGCCCATGGGGTACTTAGATCTGGCCCACGGGGCCACCCTGGAAAGGCCACTCTGGAAACAGCAAAGGACCAACCCGCAGGAAATGGCAAAAGGACCATTTGCCAGGGAAAATGAGCTCCATTCTCAGCTGCCAGGGCCTCCTGCAACCCTCTGCCAGTGAAAATGGAGCTCAGGGGTGCTGCACGCAGTGCTCCCAAGCTCTGCTTTCACTGGTAGTGTTGCAGGAGGTGATGGCAGTCAAAAACAGAGCTCGGGAGCCTGTTTCCGCTGGCAGAGTGCTTGGGGAACCACAGGTGCCCTTAACACAAGTGATGTTGAGGCCCACCCTGGCCATGCCCATCCTGCCCCCCCCCGAGATAAAACACAACCCTGATGCAGCCCTCAATGAAATCAAGTTTGACACCCCTGATCTATCACATCCTGGACATAAACTGTTTCAACTTCTCCCCTCAGAAAGCCACTATAGGGCATTGCATGCCAAAACAATTAGACACAAAAAGTCCCACCCCACCCACCCCCACCCACCCCAGGCCATCACTCTGTGAAACACCTAATCCCCACAGCACTGTTTTATGCCTAAGAATATATAACCATGTAGTAGGACCACATTACTATTATCCTCCTCATCTTTCCTATTACCTACTTCTATTGGCATCTTATGACTATCACTTTGTTGGTTGTATCTTATGATTTATAATTGTAACTTATAATTTATGATTGTATCTTATAATTTATTATTGTATCTTATAATTTATCACTTTGTTGCTTATATGTTTATTGAGAGCTTATGCACCGGAAACAAATTCCTTGTGTATCCAATCACACCTGGCCAAAAAAGAATCTTCTCTTCTCTTCTCTTCTCTTCTCTCTTCTCTTCTCTTCTCTTCTCTTCTCTTCTCTTCTCTTCTCTTCTCTTCTCTTCTCTTCTCTTCTCTATGAAAAGAAGGACTACTGTGTTCCAATATCTCAGGGGTTGTCACAAAGAAGAGGGGGTCAACTTATTCTCCAAAGCACCTGAAGGCAGGACAAGAAGCAATAGATGGAAACTAATCAAGAAGAGAAGCAACCTACAACTGAGAAGAAATTTCTCAGTTGCTGACAGTTAGAACAATTAATCAGTGGAACAACCTGCCTCTAGAAGTTGTGAATGCTTCAACACTGGACGTTTTTAAGAAGAGATTGGACAACCATTTGTCTGAAGTGGTGTAGGGTTTCCTACCTGAGCAGGGGGTTCGATTAGAAGACTTCCAAGGTCCCTTCCAACTATTCTATTCTATTCTATTCTATTCTATTCTATTCTATTCTATTCTATTCTATTCTATTCTATTCTATTCTATTCTACCCCTATCCCTACCCCTACCCCTACTCCTACTCCTACTCCTACTCCTATTTATTTCTATTTCTATTTCTTTCATCAAATTTCTATATAGCCTATCAGGTAACCAGGAACAGGAGTTGAGATCAAAGCACTAAAAGTTTATTACATGCTATCTATATACAAGAATCTGATCTATTAATGATCAAGGGAAATTGGCGCTAGGTAAGAGTTAATATAATTCACCAGTGGGTGGGTATTTATGCAATGACAAACTTTAGGGGACATCTTCTGTGATAGGTATCTGCAACCATCCCTTCAAGATATTGTGGTTTCGCAGGTTTGATGAATGCATCACGTGACAGGACAACCCAGCCACTCATGATTCAAAGAATTATCATAAGACCAGGGAAACGGGAAAAAAAAAAGAACTAGTATAATGAAGAAAATAGCAAAATAATGTAGTAGGGAGTAAGAGATATGAATATGAGTTGGTGGGAAAAACCCTCGTCTCCATCTGCCCCATCCTAGGACACAAACAGAATCAATATTTTATTTTATTGATTAATGTATTAAATTTATATGCCACCCATATCATTGTGACATATAAACACTCAGAATGGGACAATTCATAGCAACCAGCTCACCACGACCAATTCATTACAGGACAACTTGCCATGGTGGGGCAATTTAACAATTCAATTTAATTACTTAAAATAAATTTAAAAAAATATTTTAATGTTTGTCATTCGCATTTCATTTGTCCCTATTTTTGCATTCCTTGTTTAATGATTCTATTCCACCATTTCTTTGATGCTAGTGAAATTCTTGTCCCTGAGCGAGTTGTCCCATGGCAAGTTGGTCATGGCAAGTTGTCCCATGATTAGTTGGCCATGATTGATTAGTCATAGTGAACTGACCATGGCTAGTTGGCTGTGACTAGTTGGTTGTGATGAGCTGTCCATGGCTAGTTGGCCATGGCAAATTGTCATAAATACTTTCTCTCTTTTTTCTTCCATTGCAGGTGGAACGGGAAATTGCCATTCTGAAGCTGATTGAACACCCTCACGTACTCAAACTTCATGATGTCTACGAGAACAAAAAATACTTGTAGGTATTTATTGGCAGATGGCCTCCCACTTGCAAATGGGGCCCTGGATACATACCTGCCAAAGTGAAATACAGGTAGTCTTTGACTTACAACAGTTCATTTAGCAACCGTTCGAAGTTCCAATGGCACTGAAAAAAGTGACTTATGACTGTTTTTCACACTCATGACCATTGCAGTATCCCCATGCTCACATGAACAGAATCAGACACTAAGCACTGACACATATTTATAAAGGTTGCAGAGTCCTGAGGTCATGTGATCACCTTTTGCGACCTTCTGACAAGCAAAGTCCACAGGGAAGCCGGATTCACTTAACAACCACGATACTAACTTAACAACTGCAGTGATTCACTTAGCAACTGTGCCAAGAGAGGTCGTAAAATAGGTCAAAACTCATTTAACAACTATCCCACTCAGCAACAAATATTTTAGGTTCAATTGTGATCAAAGTCAAAGACTACCTGTAGTTCTTTCTACAAATTAGCTGCATTCCAACCTGGAATATTATAATCTCTTTCCATAGATCTGCTTGCTAAGGATTCTACACTTAGGAGAAATGTGGGGGCTTCTTTCCAGTCATGCATGTAGCTATAGGGATTACAACTCCAGACTTATAAAAATATGAATTGATACATAAATACAATAACATACAGACTGAAATCTGCTAATACATAGCACGGACAATGTGAAAATTGTAGTATGAGTTTAAAATTATTGCAAATAATTGCCAAAGGCTGCTAATTAACCTTGGTGAAACAGCCCTGGATTAGCACGATGTGTGAAGTCATTAAACCACCCATCTTCCCCAATTACCATGGTTCAATGCCCCTCTCATGTTCTTAACCACAATGTTGCCTGCAACAAACTTACATGAGATACCACTCAGGTATTATTATTCTACCTTCGCAATACCTAATTTCTTGCTGTTTGATGTTCTTATGCCATATAGAGAAGAACAGAATTGGCCATTGAGGATTGCTTCAACATTTGCCATGGGATAGTATCATTTCCACACTTACAACAGGATAGTTTAGCGGGCTCAGAAGAAAGGGTGAAGCATCCATGGCTCTATGAGCAAAAAGGAACAGCTTGACGTTCAAGAAGAACAGACAGAAGGCTCCCATCACAGCTGGCCACCTGCTTAACGTCTGTTGTCTGAGGCAATGACCTCATCTATCCAAAGATAGGGCCAGTTTTGGTACTTTTTTCCTTGAAGGCAGACCAAGTTAAAATGTGAAACAATAGCCAAAGACGTGTGATTTTATGGAGCTGTTCTGAAGTGGATTCTTAAGGCTTTTTTTTTCTTCATTCATCCCAAAGCATTTATCAATCCAATTACACCCTTCACTCCCAACAGATTGAGGCTACCTTCCACCCTCATCCTCGAATTTATATGTGGCATTCTTTGAATGGGGAGGGAGAGAGAGGATAGTGGAAGACAGGAAATAACCATTTCCTCCAATTTTGCTAAAGTAATTGAAATTCAAAAGCTTGGTTTCTGGAAAGGTGCAGGACCCATAAAAAGAAAAGAGTTGTGTTCCCATCTGCTTCTGAAATTACTGGCACAAAGCGACGGTTTCCTAGGTGGAAGATATTTGTATTTCTCTTGGGTGTGAAGGCTGCCAGAATGGCAGAGCCAGTGTGTGTGTGTGAGGGGCGGGGGGGAGGGGAGAGGGAGAGAGAGAGAAATTGCAGGATAGCTGTCCAACATACCAGGCGGTGCCAGACCAGTGGCATTCTCTACATATAAGCTTTCTTTGTCATCCTCTTCTGAATCAGTGGGTGGAGATATAAAGAGAGAGAGACAAAGACATAGGATAAAGAGAGTGCATGGAAAAAAAATATGTATATGTGTATTAGGGCTAAAATTGAGGAGAGGTATGATAAAACTTCTGACTAGCTTTCCAGCTTTCATTTTAAGTCATGTAACCTAACTTTGTCCAGTCTGACTGATGGGTGCACTGGTTGGAGATAATAAGAGGTGCAGTTTATCACAGCCAATGATTTTCCAAGCTGTGCTAGAATCTTTTTTTATATATTGTTATTAAAATAAACATTTATTTATTTTATTCATAAAAATTCAGCCAAATGACATTGAAAATGCCACATTTCAGGTTCAACTTTGATATGTTTCTAACTTTAATCCTTGAAAATTCTCTCTTAATCATAATCCTCACTCCTTATTTACTCCACTGGAAGTTTAATTGGCTTTAATGGGAGTAATTCCCTTGTAGATTCTGGTAAACTGATGTGTCAGTCTTTGGAATTCAGTCCCATCAACACTGCAGAATTTCAAATTAACTTTCAAATTAAAATTAGAAATGCCTAAAATTACAATGTTCCAACTGAGGAACAGACTACTGTTCCAATGGAAAGCTCTTTCTTATCAAAAACAGAACGTAACTGTATGTCAAAATGCCAAGTGTGAGAGTCGTGCTCGTGCACAGGCAATCCTTGATTTATGACCAATCACTTAATAACCATTCAAAGTTACAGAGAATTCAAAAAATGAAAGTATGGTCTTGTTTTGAAGTTCTGATGTCCACACACACATCTGTTCCCCTCCACCACAGTAAAATGGCTGCATTTAGAAATGTTGTAGCACCCTATAGTCACGTGACTGAGTTTTACGACATTTTTGCAGGAAACCAGCATTTTACTTCTGGTTTCATAGTGATCTCAAATGTGCTTTTTTTCAAAAAGCAACTGGGCTGTTTTTTCCTTGAGGAAGAAGAACAAAATGTTTCCTTTCTTATTCTCATTCCATTCCACCCTGCCCCACCCTGCCCCACCCTGCCCCAATCACAACTGATGCCATTTCTTGGATGAGAAACAAAACGTTTTGTTCCTCTTCCTCAAGGAAAAAACAGTCCAGATGCTTTTTGAAAGAGCACCTTTGAGACAACTGTGATCTGGATGTCTGAAAATCTTCACAGACATCTCATAATGAACAATGGGTTTGCTTAACGACTGTGGTGTTTGCTTAACGACTGCCGCAAAAGAGGTTCTAAAATCAGCTCCACTCATGTGTTGACCTGCTTTATGTTCATTGTGACTTGCAACTGAAACCGTGGGCTCAATTATGGCCATAAGTTGAGGACCACCTATATTTGGCTGCCCGTGCAAGAAACACTTTTTAGGAAGCCAAGGCCAGACCCTCCTTCAATCAGAGCACACCCAGCTACCACCCAGCCACCCATGTACAGCTAACTGTACGCAATATTTATTCCTATAAAAAATGTAGTCCTGGCTTGAATGAGCTCCGCTTGTTCTCTGTTTGAGGTTGTGTAGCAGTTGGCGATTCAATCATGGAAAAGCAATATAAAATATTTTGAATTCTTCATCTCCCCCCGCCCCCTTCTCTTTCTAACTCTCAAGATCAAAGTGTTACATCTCTCTTTCTCTTTTTCATTTTCTTTGCAAAGAAAATGGCTTTGCCTTGGTTTGAATGGATTCTGAGTTTGCTCCCATGGTGGTCTGATAGATTTTCAATTTCTTTTTAATTCTTGTCCTTGCTTCTTGGTCATGCTGTCTCTGGACTTCTAATGTGTTAGGTACCTCGTCTTGGAACATGTCTCAGGAGGTGAACTTTTCGATTACTTGGTGAAGAAAGGGCGCCTGACCCCCAAGGAAGCTAGGAAGTTTTTCCGACAAATTGTCTCGGCTTTGGATTTCTGCCACAGCTATTCTATATGGTGAGCTGACTGTTGTGTTATTATGAGCTGTTACAATATCTCGTTTTGTTCCTGCAGGAAAAGAAAGAAAAACATTTTTCTTTGGGGTTTATTTTTCTCTATTGTCTTGTGGTTCCCCCTCTTTTGTTATTTGTGTTCTATTGATTTTTTTTTATTGTGTCTCTAGTTTTTATGCTACCGGCCACTTTGAATTATCATTGATAAAGAAAATCAATCCTTATTATAGTAATTATTGTTCCTTCTCCCATCCCTAGATCCTATTGATAATTGAAATGCCAATTTACTCTTTATTAAAGTACATGTTTCCCTAGGTCACCAGATGAGCACTGATTTCCTCGTCTTTTGATCTCAGCGTGATATGTAAATATTGGGAGTGGATGCTTTTTCTGGCAAAATGTAATATCTAATAAATGCAGTGGTTTCCAGACTTTCATAGTTTAAGCCCCATCCAGTCAAAATTCTAAAGATTTCATTAACATTTCAATAACTTATCCTACGTCCCATTTATCACTTCTTGCCAGGCTCCCAGGAACCGAGAACAACACATTGAGTTACTTCTGAGTATTTTCCTTTATTGTTCCTCACCCATAGGCAGAAGTCTTGCAAAACTAAAGCAACTAGTTGCATCACTATAGATATACAGCTAATCTCTGGGTTACGAGTGTTCATTTAGCGCCCATTCGAAGTTATGAGATAAGCGCCCCCTAGTATTTATAAGCAAGTCCCAAAATTATGAATGTTGCAGCATCACAACAGTTGTTCGCCCTTACGAACGACTGCACGTCTGCAACATTCCCCCTATTCCCCCTTCCCCCACTCCCCACAACTGCTTCCCCCTTCCATCCTGCTGCTCAGGAATCACATATCTTACAAGATCTGTCACCTCTCTGCCACGGTTACTTTGCTTTTGAGGGAGAATTGATGGAAGTGCCTGGGTGCCGTAATATCGCTCGAGTTCAGAGGCACCCATCCTCTTTTGCTGTTTGTTGCTTATAGGCTATCAGTCAAATCATGGAGAACATGAAATGAAGTCATCTTGATGGTCCCGCAATTCTATATTCCCTCCTGGCTGAATTTGATCTCACTTGTTTGGTGTAGGCCCAGTGGTGAAATTCAAATTTTTTTACTACCGGTTCTGTGGGCATGGCTTGGTGGGCGTGGTGTGATCTGGTGTGGCTTGGTAGGCATGGCTTGGTGGGTGTGGCAGGGGAAGGATACGTCAAAATCTCCATTCCCACCCCACTCCAGGGGAAGGATACTGCAAAATCTCCATTCCCTCCCCACTCCTGGGGCCAGCCAGAGGTAGTATTTGCCAGTTCTCTGAACTACTCAGAATTTCCGCTACCAGTTTTCCAGAACCTGTCAGAACCTGCTGAATTTCATCCCTGTGTAGGCCTCTATGTAAGCTTTGAAGCCTCTATTCCTGGCTTCATTTAACTTAGGATATGTATAGTTAAACCCTGTTTTTTAAATAATTTATGTTGACTCCTTTGGCTTTGTAAAAGCACATTTCTAAACCACGGGTTATGCATTGTTTTGAATTTATGAATAAATAGTTGGAAAGAATATTAGCATACAGCCCATCTGAGAAAAATATTTTCCAAACCAATAAATTTTATAAAATTACAATTCCAGTTTTCAGCTTCATTGAGGAGGAAGAATAAATGAGAGATTGAAAGGAGCTAACTCGGCACTCTTGGGATTAATACTTTCAGAAGTTGTTAATCCAAATACATCAGACAACACTGCTTGTTCTATATAGTACATAGAGAAACCTGTTGACTTTTAAAGCTCCCTCCAAAATTAGCAAGGGAATCTAGTGAGATATCTGATGTATCAAGGGTATGTTGCCAAGCTAACAGCTTTTGACTGTGTTCATATGGCATTCTAATGTAAGGCTACCAAATCTGAGTTGCAAAACTCTTGACAACCAGACTTTCTACTATTTAATAGTGTTTAATATTGTAATATAAGCTAAATCTGGTAGCCTAACCCAAACTCATGGTTTTCTTTCCCATGGTTTCCTAAATTTACCAAATTTTATTGGATCATACGGCGTAATAAACCATTAACATAAATTATAATACAGATTCACATGATGCATCGGGATAAACTGAGTTCATTAGTTGTAAGCAATATTATGCAAACAATGTCTTATTCCTCTGGGTTCAAATAATGCTAAAGATCTTGAGAATGGTTGATGTCCTTGAGTCGTAATAGATTTCATAATTGTGGAGCCGCAAGTCATACAATATTCAATAGAGCACTTACATATCACTTAAGCAAACAAAAGTGTGTGTGGGGGAGTACTTAATACTAATCTAATACCTCCCACTGGGTTGAGAGCCATTCATGTAATAACTTCAAAGGATTTAGTGGTACAAGTTCACACAGGTTTGTGTATGTGGATGCCCGTGAGCTCTGCCACTGATCAATCTCCGTGGGTTTTGTTTGGACCCCTTCAGCCACCGAGACTTGAAACCTGAGAATTTATTGCTGGATGAGAAGAACAACATTCGGATTGCAGATTTCGGCATGGCCTCCCTGCAGGTCGGAGATAGCCTGCTGGAAACAAGTTGTGGGTAAGCTATCCTCAGAATGGAGTCATGCTGGCCTGTGATGCTGAGGGAAGTGGGAGGAAGTCAGCCAGGGTTGACTCACATGGGTTGATTCACACATTATTGCAGGAATACCAATGTGTCCAATGTAGTGGACATGTTAAAAGTGAAATGGGAAGGAAATATATGCCTGGGAACCTTGGTAAGCTGTTCCTTGACTTTAGATGGAAATGCTATCACATATTACTATTGTCATTGAAATTTAAGTGAATCAGAAATATCTGCTCTTACTTAATATTTGAAATGTGAATTGCTGGTTTGCTTGCAAGTGGAGAGGCAAATTCATCAAAGATCTGCCATATGTAAGGACAGAAGACTTTTTCCATCAATGAAAATATAAATCATATATTCTTGGATGTGGAAACTCTTTGCGGAACATCCTCCCATTCTACCCCAAATTTATGGTCTTAGAACATACACAGAAGATGAGATTCAGCCAACAGATGTAGCCAACTGCACCAACCTTGGTTCCTTTGTGCAATGGTGGTGCTTTTTTCTTAAAACGAATGACATCTGTTTAGGAAGTTGATTCTGTAGTGCCAGAATCCCTACCAAGTTTTTTCCTTCCTCACAGCTATAAATTCCTTTAAAAAAAGTCATTCCCACAATTCCTAATTGTGTAAATGTCAAGTTTAGCTTGGTCTTCAGATTTCCGGGCTAGGAAATAGGAATTTCATTTGATGGCTGTCCTCAAAGAAGGGACATGTTTTTCTTTAATGGGAAGGAAGAAAAGATTCTACCACTTCTAGACATGTGCAGAAGTTGCTGAAGAAGCCATTTGTGTTAGACGTGGAATGGCCTAGAATGATCTTCTCCAGACCACATGGGTTCAGTTGCAATTCTGAGCATATAATTGGCCACTCCAGAATTGACTTGAGAATGCCAAGGAAGTTTCGTCCTGGCACCTGAAACCCTCCAAACTTCTAAAAGTCAAGGATTTCCACAACCCATCTTAGACTGGGGAGGGGTGGTATATTTCACAGGCTTTTCCTCACATGCTTGTTGAACCCATGGCCCTATGGGTTAGCTTTCTTCGGCGTTTCACTCTTCCTATCTCTCTGTCTTTCTCTTTCTTTTCTGCCCCCAATGCTGGGCTGCAGTTCTCCTCACTATGCATGTCCAGAGGTGATCAAGGTAAGGATTCAGGCCTAGTGCCCTCCCCTTATCTTTGTTGGTATCTGATTTCCCTCATCCCGTCCAATAGATAAGGGTAAGGAGCCCCTCAAAATATACTTTATCCTGCTTCAATTGGCCCTTCAATTGGAACAATTATATATTATATACTTGTGGCCATCCATCTAGAACTACAACTCTCAGCATTCATCCTTCGCCATTAGGACCGCTGGGAGTTGTAAGTTAAAAAGATCCAGAGAGTCACCCCAGATTGATAAATTTCACAGCATGACACAATATTTCAGACAATTCAAACAAATATTTTTAATAATTTAAGTAACATATATTGATTTGAGTCAAAATTGCACTCCAAATATAGAAGGTAGAAACTAAATCTTTTTAAAGTTATACAGGTAGTCCTTGACTTGTGACCATAATTGAGCCTGGAATTATGGTCATAAATCATACCAGTCATTAAGCAGGTCACCACGTAGTCATGCCTGATTTTACAACTTTTTTTTTTTTGTTCAAACCAGAAGCAAACACCACTTTCTGTCAAAACCATTATAAATTTCTGTTATGTGACTGTGGGACACTGCAAATGGAGGCCAGTTGTGCCCACAATGTGACCACATGACTGCAGGGCAGGTGGGTGGGAGGAGGCTGTCAGAACTTTGAATCCATCAAAAATTTAACCTGTCATAAATCAAGGACTACCTGCGATTGAATTCTTTTAATTATTATAATGAACTTGTACATATATGCATGCACTTTCATGCACCAGGTATATATACAATTCCCATCTCATCAAAAACCTGATCCAGAAGATTTATACTGGTTTCCTTCTCCCAGCTAGTAAGAATATTTTAAAGTTAGAGGAAATAAACTCTATGCATTCTCAAGAACATTGCTGGGGATCTCAATTCTCTGTGTTCGAGTTTGTGTGACTATTTATGTATGGGCTGAAACTTAAATTCTGCTGGGCAAGGGGATTATTCTAATTTTTTTTTAAATACTGGAAAAGCCAATCACAGGAAATCACAGGAAAAGAAATCCCCAGGTCCACATGGATTTCCAAGGAATGTCAACCTAATATAGGGTGATAAGATTTTGCAAGCTTTCCTTAATCAGAAAGAAACTTTCCCCTGGGTACCTGGACTGGAGGTCTCTTTCCTTTATCTCTCTTCCCAAATGGGACACAGTGAAGAACAGCTATCATTTTAGTGGATTTTTTTTAATTATTTCATATTATACACCAGTAATAGTTAACCCCCCTTGCAGTTGCTCTTACTGTAATGCTTGGAAAAACCTCCCGCCCTCACTTCAAATGTTTTTCATTGATTCCTGAAATCTTCTCCCTCCCCAAACCCAAACCAATTATCAAGCCCCCAATCTCTGCTTCTTGCTCTTTAGGGTGAGAAGTATGATGGACGTCGCGCGGACATGTGGAGTTGTGGTGTCATCCTCTTCGCCCTCCTGGTGGTAAGTTTATCCCAAAAATGTTTGCTCACTCCTGGCAGAGAGCATTTAATCCAGTGGTGAAATATAAAATTTGTTACTACCGGTTCTGTGGGCATGAATTGATTGGGGGGGGGGGGAATATGGCTGAGTGGGCGTGGCCAACTTTTTTTTTTTTAACTTTTAAAACCATTTTTTCTACAACCTCTTCGGCTGAAGAGGTTGTAAAAAAAAATGCTTTTAAAAGCCTCTGACGATCCCAGCTGTGTTGCCTGCATGGCAGAGGCTTTCTTTTTTTTAAAAAAAGCCTCTGATGATCCCAACTGACTTGCCTGATCGGCAGGGTTGTTTTTTTTTTTTTAAAGCCTCTGGCGATCCCAGCTGACTTGCCTGATCGGCAGAAGCTGTGATGATCCCAGCTGAGCCGCGGGATCATCAGAGGCTTTTTTTTTTTACTTTTAAAAGCATTTTTTTTGGCCAAAGAGGTTGTAGAAAAAATGCTTTTAAAAATAATTTTAAAAAGCCTCTGATGATCGCGCGGCTCAGCTGGGCAATGGGGAGGCAGGGATTTTTGCTACTGGTTCTCCGAACCACCCACCTCCATCGCTACCAGATCGGGCAATCTGGTCCAAACTGGGAGCACTTCACCCCTGATTTAATCTCCCATTTAGTTCTCCTGTCTTCTGCCCAAGGGATCCATTTAAATTAGGGGTGGTGAACTATGGCCCTTTTATGATGAGGACGTCAACTCCAAGAATTATCAACTTACCAGCTGCAGTGATTCACTTAACAATCGTGGCAAGAAAGAGTGTAAAATGGAGGAAAATTAACTTAACAAATGTCTCACTAACCAACAGAAATTTGGGGCTCAATTGTGATCATAAGTTGAGGACTACCTGCAATAGTTATAACTTTTATTAGTATTTATTAAATTTGTATACAGGTAGTCCTCGATTTATTACCACAATTCAGCCAAAATTTCTGCTGCTAAGTGAAAGGTTTGTTAAGTAAATTTTGCCCTGTTTTATGATCTTTCTTGCCACAGTTGTTAAATGAATCGCTGCAGTTGGAAAGTTAATAACTCGGTTGTTAAGTGAATCTGGCTTCTCCATTGACTTTGCTTGTCAAAAGGTTGCAAAATATGATCACATGACTCCGGGACTGCAACGGTCATAAATATGAGTCAGTTGCTAAGCATCCAAAATTTGATCATATGACCATGGGGATGCTACAGCGGTTATACGTGTGAAAAACAGTCATAACCAGAGGTGAAATGCTCCTGGTTCGGACCGGATCGCCCGATCCCGTAGTGATGGCGGCGGGTGGTTCGGAGAACCGGTAGCAAAAATCCCTGTGCCCACCCCCATGCCCAGCTGAGCCGCACGATCATCAGAGGCTTTTTTTTTTTTACTTTTAAAAGCATTTTTTCTACAACCTCTTCCAACGAAAAAAAGCTTTTAAAAGTAAAAAAAAAAGCCTTTGATGATCACGTGGCTCAGCTGGGATCATCAGAGGCTTTTCAAAGCATTTTTTTTCTGCAACCTCTTGGCTGAAAAGGTGGTTTAAAAAAATGCTTTGAAAAGTCTCTGACGATCCCAGCTGTGTTGCCTGATCGGCAGAGAGGTATTTTTTAAAAAACCTCTCTGACAATCCCAGCTGAGTTGCCTGATCGTCAGAGGCTTTTCAAAGCATTAGAAAAAATGCTTTGAAAAGTTAAAAAAAAAAAAAAAGTTGGCCATGCCCACCCAGTCACATTACCCCCCCATCAAGCAACGCCCACAGAACCGATAGAAACAAATTTTACATTTCACCCCTGGTCATAAGTCACTTTTTTCAGTGCTGTTGTAACTTTGAGTGTTACTAAATGAACTGTTATAAATCAAGGACTACTTATCCAGTGATTCCGATTGTTGTCCTGAGAATGTTTTTTTGTTTGTTTGTTTTTTTAATTTGATTTATATGCCGCCCTTCTCCGGAGACTCAGGGTGGCTTACAATGCGTTAAGCAATAGCCTTCATACTTTTGGATATTTATACAAAGTCAGCTTATTGCCCCCACAAACTGGGTCCTCATTTAACCTACCTTAGAAAAGGATGGAAGGCTGAGTCAACCTTGAACCTGGTAAGATTCAAACCTGCAGTAATTGCAGGCAGCTATGTTAATAACAGGGTGCTTTAAACCACTGTACTACCAAGGCTCTTTGACTTGAGGGAGGTGGAAATGAAAGGGAGAGAGAAAGATTAATAAAGGAGATGAGGGCAAAAGGACCAATATTACACACCTTCATGTTTAAACAGTGTTTTGACAAACATCTAGTCCTTGACTTATGACTACAATTGGGATCAGAATCTCCATTGCTTAGCAAGGCAATTGTTAGGTGAGCTGTGCCTGATTTTATGACCTTTTTGGCCATGGTTGTTAAGCGAATCACTGCAGTTAAGTGCATCATGTGGTCATTAATTACATCCAGTTTTGGTCACCACGTTACAAAAAAGGTGTTGGAAAAAGTGCAAAGAAGAGCAACTACAGATGATTAAAGGCCTGGAGACTAACATATGAAGAACCGTTGCAGGAATTGGGTTTGAAAGAAGGACTTTTAGGGGTGACTTGATAGCAGTATTTCAATATTTGAAAGGCTGCCATAATGAGGACCTGATTCCAAAGCACCAGAGGGCAGGAAAATAAACAATGGATGGAAACTAATCAAGGAGAGAAGCAACCTGGAATTAAGGAGAAACTTCTTAGCAGTGATGACGATTAACCAGTGGGACGGCTCGTCTTCAGAAGTTGTGGATGCTTCATCACTGGAGGCTTTTAAGAAGGGACTAGACAGTCACTTGTCTGAAATGGTATAGGGTCGCCTGCTCGAGCAGGCCCAGATGGCTTCTATAAGCAAAGCCGATGGGGTGGGGGGGGAGATGAATTTGAATCAGAATCAGAATCAGAATCAGAATCGAGCTGGAAGAGACCTTGGAGGCCTTCTGGGCTAGAAGGCCTGGGCTAGAAGAACTCCAAGGTCCCTTCTACCTCTGTTCTGATTTTGATTTTGATTCTGATTCAAATTCAGCTTCCCCCATTGGCTTTGCTTGTAGAAGACATCTGGGGAGGTAACAAATGGTGATCCCATGACTTTGGGATCTGCATCCAATGTAAATACATGATGATTGCCAAATGCCTGACTAGGTGGCTCAGTGGCTAAGACGCTGAGCTTGTCAATCAGAAAGGTCGGCAGTTCGGCGGTTCAAATCCCTAGTACAGGTCTCCTGCGTGAGCAGGGGGTTGGACTAGATGACCTCCAAGGTCCCTTCCAACTCTGTCACCGTTAAAAATGCCTGAATTCTGAATACAAGACCATGGTCGTAACTTCAAACAAATAGTTGTAACTCAAGGACTACCTGTAATGTTATCCCAAGAAATTCCTGCAAAACCTGAAATCTGTGGTGTCTTAAGTTCTTTCACTGTTTTCTCCTGCAGGGGGCGCTACCCTTTGATGATGACAACCTACGGCAGCTTTTGGAAAAAGTGAAACGTGGGATTTTTCACATGCCCCATTTCATTCCGCCAGACTGTCAGAATCTCCTGCGGGGCATGATTGAGGTGGAGCCAGAGAAACGCCTCAGTGTAAGTCATCTGGTGGTTCCCAAGACTGGGAGGAATGGAGGGAGGAGCAGGCTTGGATGGTGAAGTGGAGCAGGATGGAGGGCTGGGTAGCACTATTTCAGATTGCAATCTGGGATGGGCCACTCTTGAATATAAAAATAGGATAGCAGTTGTCATAAATGTCTGTGAAACCGTGGGAATAGAATACAATGGAATAGAGTAGAGTAGAATAGAGTAGAGTAGAGTAGAGTAGAGTAGAGTAGGACAGGACAGGACAGGACAGGACAGGACAGGACAGGACAGGACAGGACAGAATAGAATAGAATATATGGCAGAACTGAACAGAATAAACAGAACTGAACAGAACAGTTCTTTATTGGCCAAGTGTGACTAGACACACAAGGAATTTGAAAAGATTTGAGTTAGAATTCTTCCCTGATATGGTTGATTTTTATATGATCTGTTTGGGTCTAAATTTAATTAGGATTTGATTGAAACAATTGAGTGTAGGTAATATTGTTCCATTTTGAGATTCAGTTAATGTTTTATGTTTATTTTAATATACTGAATGTCTGAAGATAAGGGTATATTATTATTAACACATGTTTTTATGATGAGTGATAGTAATGGACAGAGCAGTCATGGTTTTAACTTTTTTAAAAAAATGAATATTTGCGAAAAGAGCCTAATGTTGGTTTATTTTTCTCCATGTGGTGGCTTTAGCTGGAACAGATTCAGAAACACCCGTGGTTCTTGTGAGTATTTCCAGACTGTCTTTTATTTCCAGCTGATTCTCTTTTCCCTTGTTTGACGAGATCTCAGTAAAGATCAAGGTCTCAGTATTTTTTGCCTTCACTTACCAGAGGAGACGGAAGGTCTCTTAGAGAGACAAAGATATGAGCAGAAATCCCAATGTCCCACTCTACCACTGTCATTGTTGTCTAGACCAGGGGTCTCCAACCCTGGCAACTTGAAGACTTGTGGACTTCAACTCCCAGAGGTTGCCAAGGTTAGAGACCCCTGGTCTAGATAGTGGTGAGTCCCATTGTGGCTCTTCAGAAGTCAACAACCTCAGCTAGCATGACCAACAGAGAGGAATATCGGGACCTATTGATTACCAGAAGATATCTCCTTGGTTTTTGGGGTTCCACCTTAAAATGTTCTTTCAATCTATCTAAAAGAGCAAAAAGCTTTAATAATCATAAAAGTGAATACAGGTAGTCCTTGATTTACAACTATTTGTTTAGTGACAATTCAAAGATACAATGGCACCAAAAAAGTGACATATGACCAGTTCTCCAACTGTTGCAGCTCTCCACAATCACAGGAACAAAATTCGGGCACATGGCAAGCGGCATGTATTTACAGTGGTTGCAGTGTTTCAGGGACCCTGGGATTGTCATTTGCAAACTTCCTAGGGAATTTCTGACAAGCAAAATCAATTTGGGGAAGCTGCATTCATTTAACAGCCTTATGATTCAATGATTCACTTAAGAACCTTGGCAAAAAGGGTCATAAAATGGGACATGGCTCATTTAACAACTGTCTTGTTAGCAACAGAAATTTTGAGGCTCTCTGTGCTTGTAGGTCAAGGGCTACCTGTAATTATATTTATTTAGCTATATATGAGCCATAATGATTCTAAAACATTACTGTAGAATTTTAAAAAATGGGTTTTCAATAGATTATGTGCTCATGAGAAATTGACTAAATAGACTGTTGTGATCTATATAGTTATTAACCATTGGGAAAAAATGTACCAGGTGTACAGACATGGTCCCATAAGTACAATCTTTGGGAACCTGGCTGTGCTGCATAGACTTAACCAGTGGTGAAATCCTCCAAGGTTTGCCATCTGTTTGCTGTGCATGCACAGTGCGCACCAAATGCTCACTTTGGGCACATGCACAGTGCATGCCAAACAAGTGCTTCGTGCACACATGCACCACAGGTGCTACTGCGCAGCACAGAAAAAGGAGGCTTAAGAAGGTAAGTAGAACAGCGAGGGGGGAGGAACAGCTGTGCCGCGTGATTTAGATTCGCTAGAAAGCAGGATTTCCTGCTTTCTAGTGAATATAAATCACGCGGCACAGCTGATCATCAGAAATACTGGTTCAGACGAACCGGTAGCATTTTTTTACTACTGATTTGCCCAAACCGGTGCAAACCGGTAGCATTTCACCCCTGGACTTAACCCAACTTTTCCATTAATACATATTTCTTGGGAAGAACATGGGCTTCCGATTCCAGTCTCTTACATGGCCAGTTAAGCCTCAAATTCAGAAGAGTTAATATAATTAATGCTTAAAATAATTAAAGGTGTCTTATCCTGCTGCTGCTTCTATAGGCAGATTTTTACAGAAAAGCAAGTAACAAATATTGGGGCTAAATCAGCAAACCGAACCTATTTACTGTATATCTATTTATTAAACAAATTTATATTCACACATGGTGAATTTGGGCATTGTACAGCATTAAAAATCCAGTTACAAATTCACTATTGATCCCCACCCTCACTCTGTGGCAAAATTAGAATCAAACAAGCAATTTGATTGCCTCCAAATGACAGAACTATATCTTCAAGGCCTTGCAGGAATGAAACAAAGTGGGAGCCAATCCTATCTCTGAGGAAATAATGTTCCAGAGGGAGGGAGTCACCACAGAGAAGGCCCTTTTCCTAAGTTCTACCAAGTGTACTTCCTTAATAGTTGGGATCCATAACATGTTCTGCCTTTCTGCTCTGGTGGGCTGGATAGTTGTAAGACTGGTAAATGGCAAGGATATATCCTATTTCCAAATATTTATGAACTTGATGTTGAGAAATCTGGCAATTGTATTCACTTCCCTGAAAAAATGAGTCATTTTTGACAATGTTAGAACAATTAACCAGTGGAACAACTTGCCTCCAACACTGGAAGTTTTAAAAAAGAGTATCATGCCTGGAAGCCATATTACCTGTGTGCCTTGAGGATCCAGGCCTGCTACAATCATACCGTGGGAAGTTAGGAGGGGGGATTGCATGAGTGAAGTAGAGATAGCCATAACAAACTTCTTTAAGAGATGTTCAAGGCCATGGTGTCCGGTAGCTGTGCAAAGAAGAATTCGGGAAAAGAACTGATTGGAGCTGTATGGACATGTGGGAGATGTGGGAAAGGTCTTGAACTTTCTTGTGGGTGAGGAAAACCAGGAAGCTTTCAAATTTGGGTTTCCTCAGATGTGCCAATATGACATCTCTAATAAAAGTTAGCCTTGAGGAACGTTCAAGCCTCGGAGTTTGATTTCTTTGGGGGGGTGTTACTTGGAACCCTGACATTAACCCGAATCTGAAAGCTTCACTAGACTAAGGGATTGGATAACCATTTGTCTGAAGTGGTGTAGGGTTTCCTGCCTAAGCAGAGGGTTGGACTAGAAGACCTCCAAGGTCCCTTCCAACTCTATTTCTACTTCGAATGGCTTTTGTCAGAGGTCTTGACTCTTTTTATACCACTCTTCAAGATTTTAACAGGGTGATGTCTTACTTTTATCTGATTTACACACTACGTCTTCTTCCAGGGGAGGGAAGAATGAACCAGAACCAGAACAACCAATCCCTCGGAAGGTAGCGATCCGACGGATTCAGTCAGTCAGTGAGCTGGACCCTGATGTGTTGGATAGCATGCACTCGTTGGGATGTTTCCGTGATAAGAACAAGCTAAAGCAAGAGTTGCAAAATGAAGGGTGAGGAACTGGGGTGTGTGGTTGAAGGGGGCCGTAAGAACCTTTCCAAAGCTTTGCTCCTTATGCTGAGGAGATGCAGTGTTCTAAGTCCTTTTCATGAGATTTAAAAAAGATGATTTGTGGTTTTATTGGAGGAACTGTCTATGGAGATTCTCAATCATCCAACCATCTTTGGTTGTCCCAAAGATGTTTTTTTCAAAGAGCAACTGGCCACTGTTTTTCCTTGAAGATGTTTCGCTTCTCATCCAAGAAGCTGCTTCAGTTCAGTTCAATTCAGTTCAGTTCCAAAAAAAAAAAAAGTCCAGTTGCCTTTTGAAAAAAAAAAACATATTTGGGATACTGAAGGAACTGTGCTTCTGTAGAGAAGCTGGAATAATCATCTCACCATTTTAGCTCCCATGATTAAAAATAAAACCGTGCAGAGCGCAGTTAGGGTGGATGCGGTATAAGAGAAGGTGTCTGATGAAGGAGGAAATAGAATTGCTGTTTCATTTGTGATGGATATGTAGATAGAAGGCAGGAAAGATGGGAGAAGAGGATAGTTAGGAAACATGTGCAAATAGTTGGAGAGAAAAAATGGACTGTGTCTTTTCTATAGGCGGGCAATAAATCCATTTTTATTTTAAGCGTAAGACCTCATTTTTCCTTTCTCCACGTCAGAGAAAATCAGGAGAAAATGATTTATTACCTTCTGCTTGACCGCAAAGAGAGATATCCCAGCTGTGAGGATGAGGACCTGCCGCCACGCAATGATGTTGGTGAGATTTTGGGGGAAACTTTCTCTAAGCACTTCATCAGGACCAGAAAACCAGAGCAGTGGTGCTTATGATTTAAGGCAGGGGTCACCAACCTTTCGGACCTCAGGGACCACTAAATTCATAATTTTAAATCCCGTGGACCACTAATATGCATTTTTTAAAAAAGATTAATAGTATTTAGTGCAATATAAAAAATGCAAATAATTTTTCTGCGGACCACCAAAATTTTCTCACAGACCACGGACCACCAGTTGATGACCGCTGATTTAAGGCACTGTTTCTCAACCTTGGCTATTTGAAGGCAGGTGGACTTGAAGGTGGACCTTAGGTGGACTTCAACTCCCAGAATTCTGGGAGTGAAGGTCTATCTGTCTTCAAGTGACCAAGGTTAAGAAACACTGACTCAAGGGATGACAAGCATTTCCAAGTTTTATTCTTCCCTCAATATTTCATCTGACTGATATGGAGGAAACAAGAAGGTAAATACATGTCAACATACCTTTGGTTTAAAGCTCTACTGTTTGTAGACATCTTCTGCCCATATACAGGTAGCCTTTGACTTACAACCATTCATTTAGTGACTGTCCAGAGCTACAACAGCACTGAAAAAAAGTGACTCACAACTTGTCCTTCAACTTAAAATCATTGCAACATCCCCACAGTAGTCAAAATTCAGACACTTGGCAACCTGTGTGTATTTACAACAATTAACAGTGTCCTGGACAGTTACCATTTGTGAATATGGATCCAGTTAGGATGTTTGAAATGGGTAGATTTAACTTGGATTTTTTAATCAATTAGGAGAAGCTCACCCTGTGCCTGTACAAGAAGAACCTAAGTTGATTCACAGCAACTGATTTGATCTACAGATAAAATCATCTTGAACTCAGTCCCCAAATTCAAAATTTCCAGAGTCCTAGTATCTCATTGTCATTCCCAAATTCTCTTCCCTTGCTCTTTCAAAACAATGGTAGTGCATTTGTGGGTGGATAAATGGGTGGGTTATTTATTTATTAGTTCGATTTATATGCCGCCCTTCTCCGGAGACTCAAGGCGGCTTCTAATGCATTAAGCAATAGCCTTCATACTTTTGTATATACCTGCTTAGTAGGGCTTTTTGTCCCCCCCCCCTGAGCGGTGTTCTATTTTTATACAAAGTCAGCTTATTGCCCCCACAAACCAGGTCCTTATTTTACCTACCTCAAAAGGATGGAAGGCTGAGTCAACCTTGAGCCTGGTGAGAATTGAACTTGCAGTAATTGCAGGCAGCTGGCAGCTAAGTCCTACTTTAACAGCAGTTTAGTCCGCTGCGCCACCAAGGCTCCTTGGTGTTGTTTGGAGCTAGCTCCCTCTTTCTGTGGCACACCTTGGGAAGCGTGCAAGCGTGAACCAAACAGAACTAGCAAACAGTCAGCCAAACTACAGGTAGTTCTTTACTTACGACTGCAATGTTTCTTATACAAACACCAGCCTCCAAAGTTCACCCAAAAGGAAAGGCCTTATTGCATCCTTCTCCTTTACGTGTTTCAGACCCTCCTCGGAAGCGAGTTGACTCCCCTATGCTGAACAGACATGGCAAACGCCGACCTGAGCGGAAGTCCATGGAAGTGTTGAGTGTCACAGATGGTGGTTCTCCAGTCCCAGCCCGACGGGCCATAGAGATGGCACAACATAGTCAGAGGTGAGTTTGTGTCCAACTATTTGTGTGTGTGTGTGAAAGACAGGGAAGGATCTTCAAAGCTGGCATTTGGAGATTCTGCTGTCTTTCCAGTGTGCTTCCTGGCCACTGAAAATGGAATTTGCAAACATTTTAAGGGTTGGCTAATCTCTAAGGCTGTTCTAGGAATGATAATGCCTCTTTAAGGTAAAGATTTCCTAAAGTCAGTTCTTGCTAACTACAGGGACAAATCCATGTAGCATTTTTGGCAACAGTATGGAAACCTTCTACCACTGTCTTCTTCAGCTTTTCAGACTAGCTTGCAGCTTTAGGATTTTCTGGTGTCTTCCATCTAAGTACTAATCAGGTTCGATTCTATTTAGCTTTGAGGTACCTGGTAGATACTGCCATTAGTTGCACCTATGTATCTCTTTAAAAAGATCAAGCTCCATATCTGGTTACCTCCTGGTTTTATTTATATTGCTTCCATGGCAACAGTATGGAAGTATGCAGACTTTGGTACTCTCTGAGCATGGTTGTTTGCTTGATGATGTCATTTAGTCAAGGCATGAAACACCTGCAAACAACAATCAATCGCAGAGAGCGCTTAAGATTCCACAGTTAAGATTCAATAGTCCAGGCGGGAGGTGCCCTCATCACCTCCTGCCTGGACTATTGTAATGCTCTCTACAGGGGGCTCCCCTTGAGGAGCACCCGGAGGCTCCAACTGGCGCAGAGTGCGGCCGCGCAGGTGGTTATGGGAGCAACATGGCGCTCCCGTGTGACACCTCTCCTGCACGAGCTGCACTGGCTCCTGGTGGTCTTCCGGGTGCGCTTCAAGGTTTTGGTTACCACCTTTAGAGCGCTCCATGGCTTAGGACCTGGTTATTTACGGGACCGCCTACTACCACAAACAGCCTCCCACCGGCTGGTACGCTCTCACAGAGAGGGGGCTCCTCTGGGTGCCGTCAGCCAAGCAATGTCGACTGGCGGCCCCCAGGGGGAGGGCCTTCTCTGTGGGGGCACCCACTATCTGGAATGAGCTTCCCCCGGAGATACGGAGGATCCCGGATCTGCGCACTTTCCACCGTGCTCTTAAGACCCTCCTAATCCAGCAAGCCGGCCTGGCCTAATTTTCTCCCCTTTCTTTTTAATTTTTTAAACTGAAATTTTAATTTGTTTTAAATTATTGGGATTTTAATTGTTTTGGGCTAAATTATTTAATTTGGTTTTAAATTGTTTCTAACTTTTGTATTTATGTATTTTATTCTGTACCTGTTCACCTCTCTGAGTCCTTCGGGAATAGGGTGTATATAAATTTAATAAAACAAACAATAAAACAATAAAACAAACACAGTTCGGCCCTGAGCTACATATAAATCTCTTCTACTGGAATATAGAAAGTAATCCTTGACTTACGGCCACAATTAAGCCCCAAATTTCTGTGGATAACATTTAAATTAAGTGAATGTTGTCCCACCTTACAATCTTTCTTGCCACAGCTGTTAAGTGAATTGCTGCAGTTAAGTTAGTGACACGGTTGTTAAGTGAATCTGGCTTCCCCATTTTGACTTTGCTTGTCAGAAGGTTGCAAAGGGGCACTGCAGCCATCATAACCTCCGTGTATTTCGCTGTACTCTCAAGACCCTGTTGTTCCGCCAGGCTGGGCTATCAATGTAATGATTTTTAAATTGGATGTTTTAAATTTTTGGGGTTTTAAATTTGAGCCGAAATTATTTAATTATTTTAATTATTTTTAACTGATGTCTGTCTTTGTGCTTTTAATAGGCTGTACACCGCCCTGAGTCCTTCGGGAGAAGGGCAGTATAGAAATAAAATGATATATTTATTTATTTATTTATTTATTATAAATATGAGCTGGTTGCACGAGGGCCTGAATTTTGATCGCATAACCATGGGGATGCTGCAATGGTTGTAAATGTGAAAAACGGTCATAAGTGCCCTTTTTCAGTGCTGTGTAAACTTTGTAAGTTGAGGACTATCTGTAGCTTGTTACTGCTTTTTTTCAATACTTTTTTGATTCCTCTTCTAGTTTAAATCACTGGCATATTTTGATAGTCTCTTACTGTGCAGATTTTGATTGCTTGATAATGTCCCATCAAGTCATTTTTTTAAATATTTAATAACCACATAGACTGATCTTCTCCAAAGAGTGGTGTGGTGGCCTAGATGTGGAGCTCTCACTTCACAATCAGGAGGCTGTGAGTTCGATCCTAGGTAGAGGCATTTCTCTCTCTGGGCACACTGAGAATATAGGGATTATGGGGTCATTAAATGAAGATGATAGACTGATCTTCTCCAGGACAATCTGTCCCAATCTTCAAATCTTCCAACTTTGCACCCATCACCACTGTTACTGAGTCCATTTCCTGCTGGTTGTCTTCTTTTTCTCTCTTTTTTTCCATCTTTCCTATCATCAACAGCTTCTTCAGAGAGCTAGGTCTTTGCATAATGATCCAAAATATAGACCTACTCTCAGGGGTGGGTTCTACTTACCTTTACTACCGATTTGCAACAGGAGTGTGTGCACTCGCGCTAGCTTCACTCGCACACACACCTTGCTTCTGCGCATGCACAGATTGCTTCTGATGATGTCAGGGTCGGTGGGCGGAGCCTCCCGCCGGTTTTACTACCGGTTCTATAGAACCGGTCCGAACCGGGGGCAACCCACCCACTGCCTACTCTGTATAAAAATGAAATGTTGTGTGTTAAGTATATATATATTGTACAGCAAGTACAGGTAGTCCTCGACTTACAATAGTTCGTTTAGTGACCGTTCAAAGTTACAAAGGCATTGAAAAAAGTGACATGACAATTTTTCACACTTACAACCATTGCAGCATCCCCATGATCATGTGATCAAAATTCAGACCCTTGTGCAACCGACTCATATTATGGTGGTTGCAGTGTCCTGGGGTCATATGACCCCCTTTTGAGACCTTCTGACAAGCAACGTCAATGTGGAAGCCAGGTTCACTTAACAACTGTGTTACTAACTTGATAACTGCAGTGATTCACTTAACAGCTATGGCAAGAAAGGTTGTAAAATGGTCACTTATCAAATGTCTCACTTGGCAACATAAATGTTGGGCTCAATTGTGGTTGTAAATCAAGGACTATCTGTACAGCAAAGATCACTAGTAGAGAACAGCAAAGAATTTCAGGATATACAATATAGATTCTGCCAATTCTTTGCTGTTCTCTGCTGGTGATATCCAAAGCTTCTTAGCAGAGGTGAAATGCTCCTGGTTCGGACCGGATCGCCCGATCCCGTAGTGATGGCGGCAGGTGGTTTGGAGAACTGGTAGCAAAAATCCCTGCCCCGCCCCCATGCCCAGCTGAGCCGCACGATCATCAGAGACTTTCTTTTTTTACTTTTAAAAGCATTTTTTCTACAACCTCTTCCAACGAAAAAATACTTTTAAAAGTAAAAAAAAAAGCCTCTGATGATCGCGCGGCTCAGCTGGGATCGTCAGAGGCTTTTCAAAGCATTTTTTTCTGCAACCTCTTGGCTGAAAAGGTGGTAAAAAAATGCTTTGAAAAGTCTCTGACAATCCCAGCTGAGTTGCCTGATCGGCAGAGAGGCATTTTTTAAAAAGCCTCTCTGACAATCCCAGCTGAGTTGCCTGATCGTTAAAGGCTTTTCAAAGCATTAGAAAAAATGCTTTGAAAAGTTAAAAAAAAAAAAAAGTTGGCCATGCCCACCCAGTCACATTACCCCCCCCCCCATCAAGCCATGCCCACAGAACCGGTAGTAACAAATTTTACATTTCACCCCTGCTTCTTAGGCTTATTCACTTCTACAGGGTAACTTTCACTGGAAGTGGGGGGCGGGGGGTGGAGCTATAAGCGTTTTGTAATGTTATTTTAGAATGATGTTTCACATGTATGTTCCCATCCTCTTCTCTGTGTTTCACCACCTTCTTCCTTTCCAAGATAGCACTAATCATCATGTGTCTTTGCCCCTCACAGGTCTCGATCTGTAAGTGGTGCCTCCACTGGCTTATCTTCTAGTCCCCTCAGTAGCCCCAGGGTGAGTATATCAGCTAGGCAAACAAAAAATAAAAAATGGTATGTTGGCTAAAGGGATGGACATTTGCGGCAGAAGATGATAAAGGCAATGGTAGACAAAGGAAATATTAGATTTCGGGAGGGAGTGGAAGTTGGGAAAATGATCCCTAGAATCAGCAGTCTTGTTGACATCCCATCCTGCACTTAGTTCCAAATGCAGAGGTGCTGAGGACATTGCATTAGTTTTCCTGGCAGATGCGATGTGTACTGTACAGTGCATGAACGATAGCCAGAAGATGCATCTGGAACAATTCACTTCCCACCTCATTTCCATGACTACATCTCCATGCTAGGGAAAAGCCACCCCTGTTGGCTTGTATTGGGGGAAGGGGGTAGGTACAGAATAGGGAAGGAAAGGTGAGGTATATGTAGATCTTGGATGAGAAAAGTCGGAGATACATGTTTAAGCAGGGGGTAGGATTAAAGGACAGGGCATTGCTCACCGATTAGGATTTAGTTATTCATATAAGCTATCTGTACATTGTTGATTTGCCAGTGGATAAGAGTATAATTAATCTGGCTGACAAGAGAACAGATTATAACAGTCTTTCTGGTGTTGAACTACATCAGAATGGGATCTTGGGAGTTATAGTTCCATATGCCTGGAAAGGATTAGGCTGGGGAAAGTAGACTCTGAGCAACCAAGGATGTCTGCAGGATGTAGTCAAAAATGGTAGTGGGTGACTATTTATTTATTTATTAGTAGTAGTAGTAATAGTTCAATGTATATATGCTGCCCTTCTCCGGAGACTCAAGGCGGCTTCCAATGCATTAAGCAATAGCCTTCATACTTTTGTATATACCTGCTTAGTAGGGCTTTTTGGGCCCCCCTGAGCAGTGTTCTATTTTATACAAAGTCAGTTTATTGCCCCCACAAACCGGGTCCTCATTTTACCTACCTCGAAAGGATGGAAGGCTGAGTCAACCTTGAGCCTGGTGAGAATTGAACTCGCAGTAATTGCAGGCAGCTGGCAGCTAAGTACTACTTTAACAGCAGCAGTTTAGTCCACTGCGCCACCAAGGCTCTTATAATTGTAACTATAATTGTATGATCAAACTTCACCTGTATTTTAATGTGCATTACACATAAAAGCAGGTAGAGCTTCGATCGTACCATCTTGACTTTTTAAAACCATAGCCTGCAGACACTTTTTTTAAAAAAATTGATTTATATGCCGCCCTTCTCCAGAGACTCAGGGCGGCTTACAATGCATTAAGCATTAGCCTTCATACTTTTGTATATTTATACAAAGTCAGCTTATTGCCCCCACAAACTGGGTCCTCAATTTACCTACCTTAGAAAGGATGGAAGGCTGAGTCAACCTTGAGCCTGGTGAGATTCGAACTTACAGTAATTGCAGGCAGCTGGTGTTAATCACAATGCTCTCAGTCTGCTGAGCCACCAGGCCCTTTGTGAACAATCAGCTGGCCCCCGAATGCTTGATTTTGGCTTGTTGGCCAGTGTTGGGAGATCCAGATGAAGACTATCACATAAAGGAGAAAGGAATTCACTCTTTCCTCCATATCACAGTTCTTTCCTGCCCATAATTTATTCATTTACTCGTCAAATTTCTAAGGCCATCCATAACAGCTCTGGTGGTGTACAATAATAAAAGGAATATTGGAGTGATATAAGCCACGAGAACAATACATGTCTGGAAACAACAGCAACAAAAGTCATGACCTGAGTACAAAACTTTCCCAGAAAAAGCCCACCACACACTCAACCCCTGGCCTGGAGGAAGCAACAGAGGTTTTTAAGGTTTGCATAGATGAGATTGAGGTAGGGATTTATAGTTCTCTGGGAAGAAGACTCTGTTCTTGAAGGCCCTGCTTCCTGGGTCCTATTAGATAGCACTATTTAAACAATGAGGCCTGGAGCATTGGCAGAAACTACAGGAGGCAGATTGTCCTTTTTAACTAAAGGTTGCAGTCAGATAGCGGAGTCAGCAGAATCAGCAGACAAGCCATTTGTAAACTGCTGGAACTCAAACTGGTAAATGTCATGAACATTGCCAAAACATAAATTAGGGTTGTTAGTCATAGATCAGTCCAAGATTCCGTGTACCAAGGAAATCAAATAGCAGAATGTTATAAGGGAAAATCAGCGATGATTTATGCCATAGAGTCAATCTGCTTCTCCCAGAAATACTTCTTGCTTAATGTCAATTAATGCTGTCGCTCTTCTGTTCCACTGGAGTCACATTATAAAAAGTTCAGAATCTTTCCTCTTTCCCCCACCCCCCACCCCATGCCCTGCACTCGATTCTGAATCTCTGTTTGACTCCCCCTGTGCCTATGTCTTTGCTGTTGTAAATTTAGAGGTGTTCCAGATTATTTCTCTTTTGAGCCAGACACTTTTCAGACAGAGCTGGAATCTCTTTTCTTGTTGACAGTTGTTCCTGAGATGGTTATGCATCCTGAACCTCTTCATCTTCACCTGATTTTTTTCCCCCACTCAGATTTATTATATATCCTGATCCAAATCACCCTTGTTGTTGTTACTGGTGTACAAATGGTAGTGTTCCTGCTGTTTTAACTGGGGTAACATTAGAATGGTGGATTTCTTCTCTATATAAGGGGTTGTTGGTTGCTCTCCGAGCTTGCTTGTTTTCATGCAGACAGTTCATTACCCTAGTTAGGTAACATCATCAGTGCTAGTAAGGAGTGCAGTTTGCTGTCAGTTTATATTCTATAGAATAGAATTATATTCTATAGAATTAGAATATAAACTGACAGCAAACTGCACTCCTTACTAGCACTAATTATGTTATCTAGTTTGGGTAATGAAACATCTGCAAGAAAATAAGCAAGCTCAGAGAGCACCAAGGGCCCCTCATGTCAACCCTGAGCTACAAATATTCTCCTTTATATAAAAGACTTTCTATATATGTACAGGTATCTGTTATTTAGAAACTAACCCATGCATACAGATAGTCCTTGCCTTATAACCACAATTGGGATCAAAATTTGTGTGACTAAGTAAGGTGGTTGTGACATGAGTTGCATCCAATCTTATGACTTTCCATTATTGTTAAGTGAATGATTGCAGTTGTTAAGGGAATCCAGTTGCCCCATTGACTTTGCCCGTCAGAAGCCAGCTGGGAAGGTAACAAATGACGATCCTAGAACCTCGGGATGCTGCAACTATTGTAAATACATGCCAGTTGCCAATTTTGATCAGATGACCTTGGGGATGCTGTGTGTAAGTGCAAGGATTGGTTGAAAGTCACTTTTTTCAGTGCCATTGGAACTTTGTACAGTGGCTAAACAAATGGCTATAAGTCAAGGACTACAGTAGTGGCCAAAATTATGGAAACCTTTTGGGAAAAATGTATTTTCTAACTAACTAGCAAATAACACCACTTTTTTTGGGAGTAGTACCACAAAATTATATATCAATGGAAAGATAATTTAATCAAGAATGTAATGCAATAACTTTTATGAAGGATTTGCTATTAGAATAGCAGTTACAGTATAAAGAAGAAAAGTGAAACACGTAGAAAAAATGAGATATACAAAAAATATCATGTTAGTTAATACTTAGTTGAGTAATCTTTATCATGAAGTACAGCCTTACAATATCTTCCCATGGAGTGAACCAAGTCTTTTAGTTCTGCAGCTGTTATAATGTGAAACCAAGACTGAATGATTGCTTTTATTAACTGGGTTTTATTGCTGGGTTGCTTCTGACTAACAAGTTTCTTTAGTCAGCTGCATAGATTTTCGGTTGGGTTAAGGCCTGGGCTGTTCCCAGGCCATTCCAGCAGTGGAATATGATTATCTTGAAACTCCCCAAAAAAGTGGTGTTATTAGCCATCAAACCTCAAAAATACACTTTACTTAAAAAGGTTCCATAATTTTGGCCACTACTGTACCTGTACAACGGTCAATCATGCTTTTGTGTTATCTCTTGTAGCACTTGAAGTGTTAGCTTTATTACTAGCTGGCATTCAGCAATGAACCATGATTATCTCTGCAGTAAAAAAACAGCTTTTTTAAAACAGATAATTATGCCATAAAATTTCAAGTACCCATCCTGCGCTTAATGTTAGAAAGGTGCATTTTTATTACCAGCATAATATATCTCTGGCAGTTGAGATACCAGCAAACTTTTGCGTGCCACATAATAAAACCACACAGAAAAGGGTGGTATGGAGAAACTCCTAGGGTTGGTAGTGTCTCTTTACAACAGTTTGAGTTTTGACATTTATCTGGGAAAAGGTTTAGAGCTGACATTAGGCATTCTGTAGGAAAAACGGCCAATTGGGAGAGATTGCAAAAAGTTGGTCTTGTTGAAAGGCAAACTCAGTTTGGGAAACAAGTGATATAGAAAAGATTAAGTGGCAAAGTCTGGACCTACTTCAGGGGGACAACCATATATAGTTTCATGGTAGATTCAGGGATGTTGTCTTTGCCACAGCATGGATGAAGACGTATGACGGGGTAGGTGAACAAAGATATTCACCTAAGAGCTTGAAGCAAGTTGATTCCTTAAAAAATGAGTAATGTGTCCAAGCCACAGTAGGGGAAACTCAAAATCTGGGCCATGTTGTGAAACCTTGTTTGGGAGTAGACTATGAGATTGTCACCTGCCATTGCTCACTCCCATCTCACGGCTCTCCCCTCCTCACCTTTCTCCCCTCCCATTTCTCCCCACACCCAGAGCCCCATCTTCAGCTTCTCTCTCCCATCACCTCCCCCTGCCCCTGTGAAGACTCAGACGCTTCCTGCCAAGGGCAGCCCAGCAAGGGAGGGGGCCCTCCAGAGTCGATGTTCCACCCCCTTCCCTCTGCCTCCCAACTCTCCACCCCCTCACCCACCCTCCTCTCCCCATTGCTTTTTCCCCTCTACTAAACCCCCACCCAAATCTGTGCTGCAGGTCACTCCCCACCCCTCCCCTCGGGGAAGCCCCCTCCCCACTCCGCTCGGCACTCCTGTGCACACGCCTAAAGAGAGCCCCAGCGGCACTCCGTGCGGGACGCCCCCAAGCAGTCCTGGTGTGGCCGGCGTGGCATGGAAAACCCGCTTGAACTCTATCAAGAACAGCTTCCTTGGTTCCCCACGCTTCCATCGTCGGAAACTGCAAGGTGAGTGTATTATACTTTTCCTGAGATGATGCGCGTGTGATGGATGTTTAATTATAGGACCACAACTTCTCCATTTGCAGAAGACACGTCCAAATGGCTCATTCTATCTGGGAAAGTGCTGGAGGATAAGGAGGAAGAGCCACATCAGAACTGAGCATGACTGTAGACCAGTGTTTCTCAACCTTGGGCATTTTAAGATGTGTGGACTTCATGCTGGCTGGGGAACTCTGGGAGTTGAAGTCCACACATCTTAAAATGCCGAAGATTTAGAAACAATGCTGTAGATAGTCAAGAAGAAAGCCACAAGTGTGGTCAAGAGCACAGAAGTAGAGTTTGAATGAGGACTGCATAAAATATGGGTATAGAACAGGGATCTCCAATCTTGGCAACTTTAAGATTTGTGGACTTCAACTCAGTAAAGCTGGCTGAGGAATTCTGGGAGTTAAAGTCCACAAGTCTTAAAATTGCCATGGTTGGAGACCCCTGGTATAGAATATATTAAATGAAGGAACGCAATCTTTAAAGTTGGGAAATGGTACCTTGATACTGTCTTTTGCCAAAATAAATAATAATTCATTTTGCTCAGGTACCATCCTGCTCAAGTACTATTTAAGGAAGAGATGAAAAACTGGTGGCCCTCCAGATGTTGCTGAACTAAGATCTCAGATATCCTGGCCAACGAGATGGTTTTAGAGAGTTGTAAAATAACAATATCTAATTTTGTATTAGTCTGGAAGCCTTCCCAGGACTACCTGGAAATTATTTTAAAAGAACCTGGGGCCTTTTTATGTCTGGAATGTCTAGATGCCTGGAAACTAATGAAGGAGAGAACCAATCTAGAACTGAGAAATTTTCTGGCAGTTAGAACAATTAATCAATGGAACAACTTGCCTCCAGAAGTTGTGAATGCTCCAACTCTGGAAGTTTTTAAGAAGAGATTGGACAACCATTTGTCTGAAATGGTATAGGGTTTCAGGCCTGAGCAGTGGATTGGACTAGAAGACCTCCAAGGTCCCTCCCAAGTCTGTTACTCAGTTGATCATTCCTCAGACAAGAATGGAAAAATAAAAACAATTTCCTGTTTTTATGCTTGGCATCTGGTAGCAAATGAACTGCTTTGAAAAGTTGCAATTGGTAGGAAATGAAAACAGCTTCTTTCCATTTAACATTTACTCCTTTTCTCCTTGCAGTTCCCACACCAGAAGAAATGTCTAGTCTTACACCAGAATCATCCCCAGAGTGAGTATTAGAAGAGACCAAGAGGAGGAAGGAGAATTCAGCCTTTTTTTCTTCCATTCATGGTTCTTACAAATGCTTTTTCAAATGTTACTATTATCCCAGAATTAATGTGCTTAGTGTGCATTAATTTGGGAAATCTAGATTTCTCCCTCTTTCTCATGAACGTACAGTACCAACAAATACATCACAAGAACGTGTGTCCTTATAACTGTACAATGTGTGGTAGGAGAAATACCTTGAACCACCTTCAATGGAGACAAGCAAAGCCTCCTTCCAAGATTTATTTCCAAACTGCCTTGCTTTCCTTTTTCTGCTTTTCTTCCTTTACAGGCTTGCCAAGAAATCCTGGTTTGGAAATTTTATCAACTTAGACAAAGAGGAACAAATTTTTGTGGTCATCAAAGACAAACCCCTGAGTTCCATCAAGGCAGATATTGTACACGCCTTCCTCTCAGTAAGGGCTCAACTAGAAGAAAAGGAGAGGGCTGGGCAGGGGTGAAATCCAAATTTTTTCCTTACTGGTTCTGTGGGCATGCCTTGGTGGGCATGGCAGGGAAAGGATATTGCAAAATCTCCATTCCCACTCCATTCCAGGGAAAGAATACTGCAAAATCCCCATTCTCACCACACCTGGGGGAAGGATATTGCAAAATCTTCATTCCCATCCCACTCTGGGGTCAACCAGAGGTGGTATTTGCCAGTTCTCTGAGCTACTCAAAATTTCCTCTACCGGTTCTCCAAACTGCTCAAAATTTCCGCTACCGATTCTCCAGAACCTGTTAGAACCTGCTGGATTTCACCCCTGGGGCTGGGGTTGATTGTGAAAAATTAAATGGAGCTGGTTGGTAGGATGAGGTCCTGTTGACACTGAGGGTGGAAGGGTGGAGAAGGCTGGAGTAAACAGGATACTAAAAGGAAGACCCATTTGATGTCTATAGCTTGACATTGCTTGCCTTCACTTAATCTATAGATCCCCAGCCTGAGTCACAGCGTTATATCCCAAACAAGCTTTCGGGCTGAATATAAATCATCGGGTGGCCCCTCCGTCTTCCAAAAACCTGTCAAGTTCCAAGTTGACATCAGCTACTCCGAGGGGGGAGAGGCACACAAGGACAGTGGGATCTACTCAGTCACCTTCACTCTCATCTCAGGTGGGTAGCCGGAAATCCTTCCTCCCAGTGGTGGAATTCAATTTTTTTTACTACTGGTTCTGTAGGCGTGGCTTGGTGGGCATGGTGTGGGTTCGTGGCCGTGGCAGGGGAAGGATACTGCAAAATCTCCATTCTCACCCCACTCCAGGGGAAGGATACTGCAAAATCCCCATTCTCTCCCCACTCTTGGGGGAAGGATATTGCAAAATCTCCATTCCCACCCCACTCTGGGGCCAGCCAGAGATGGTACTTGCTTGTTGTCTGAACTACTCAAAATTTCTGCTGCCGGTTTCCCAGAATCTGTCAGAACCTGCTGAATAGCACCCCTGCTCCCTCCCACTTTGAGTCATCTTTAGGAGCCATAATGTTTTTTGGACTTTACAAACATTCAAATTTTGCAGTTCCGATAAAAAGCATACAAAGCCAGAAGAAGCAGGTTCCAGGTTTTGTGTGTGTGTGTGTGTGTGTGTGTATCTGTGTATGTAATGTACATTGTGCCTTTTGGCTTTAAGTTCACAGTTTTCTAACCATTCCAGAGGAGACTAAGTAATGTGAAGGGAGCAGTAACTTCAGAGACAATATTGCACCTTCTCTAACATCTGGACAACATTTTTAAGAAGAGCCATTTGTTCAGATTTTAATTATCATGATACAATAATTAGATGTTGAGACTCTAGAAAGAGTATAGGGAAGCGCAACAAAGATAATTAAGGGACTGGAGGCCAAAACCTATGATGGAGGAACTGAGTATGTCTAGTCTATCAAAGATAAGGACAAGGAGTGACTTGATAGCAGTCTTTCAATATTTGAGGGGTTGACCAATTCTCCAAAGCACTTGAAGGTAGGACAAGAAGTAAAGGATGGAAATTTATCAAAGGAAGATCCAAGCTAGAACTAAAGAGAAATTTCCTGACAGGGGAAATGACTTGCCTCCAGAACTTCTGGGTGCTCCATTACTGGAAGTTTCTAAGAAGAGATTGGACAGCCTTATATCTGGAATGGTGTAGGGCAGGGGTGTCAAACTTGATTTCATTGAGGGCCACATCAGGGTTGTGTCTGACCTCAGGGGGCCAGGGTGGGCGTGGCTGGGGTGGGCATGGGTGTGGCCAGCTCAATGTCACTCATGTTGGGGGTGCTTGTGGTGGCCCAAGCGCTTTTTCAGCAAAAACGGGCTCTCCAGCTCTGTTTTCACCTGCGACAGCCTCCTGCAATCCTCTGCCAGTGAAAACCGTGGCCCTCCCGAGCTCCGTTTTCACTGGTAGAGGCACCATAGGCCGGTCCTTTGCTGCGGGTCAGATCTAAACACCCTGCGGGCCGGTTCCAGCCCCTGGGCCTTGAGTTTGACACCCCTGGTATGGGGTCTCCTGCTTGAGCAAGGGGTTGGACTAGAAGACCTCCAAGGTCCCTTCCAATTCTGTTATTCAGTTCCGTTATGTTGTGAAAAGACTCGTTTTTCCTAGCTGTTCTGAAAGTAGTGTAACCCATAATCCTGAAGGGACTATACGTACTGTACACTTACATACAGCACAGACAACGGTCTCTTCCCACCATTGGACTTGAGTGGCATCCTACTTTTAGACCCTGTTTTCTGGAATCTGTTCCATTTCTGTTCCTACTTCTGCCTCTCTAGGTCCCAGCCGTCGGTTTAAGCGGGTTGTGGAAACGATTCAGGCACAACTACTCAGCACACATGACCAGCCTTCCGTGCAAGCCCTTGCAGGTAAGTGTTAGTGTATATCATTGTTTTGTATTCATACAAACAGCTGACTGTTCCTGCTTGTTTTTGAAAGAGTTAGGTGAATTTCTACGACTGCACAGAGGATTCAAAAGGACAATTTGCAAAGTGTGTTGGAGCAAATGGAGGACTCCTCTCTGAGATGTGAAGGCAACTGCATCATCTGGAAAGCTCACTGCAGCTGCTTTAACATCTTTTCTGTTTAACATCTTTGTGTTTACTTGTATGCATGTGTATATGCGTCCATGCACTATTGCTTCACTTCACTTCAGTGGCATCGTGTTGGGTATGTTAACTTGTCTGAGCATTTCCATGCCTTTGGGACAACCTGGGAAAATTCTTGAAGTTTAAAGATGCAACTTTCTCAAGATTTACAAAATGCCTTTTGAATTCTTTGCCTTAAAATATATTATCTAGGATTACTTACTGTCCTGAAGAAAAGCTATCTATGTAGTTACTAAGAGCACCAAATTGATGGTAGATCATCCATTCATTTATCCATCCCTTTATTCATATCCATCATACTGTGAGAGTCTACCAGTGGATGTTAATATAGCTAGTATTTATGATAGCTAAGTGAAGCCTCCAGAACAAAAGGACTTTGGGATCCTCGTGGTGGGGAAGCAAAATAGGGAAGACTGGTTGCCTTGAGAATCTCCCTGTAAAAAGAACAAGAAATTTCCAGTTGATTTATTTGGCAACGGGGTTGCTGAACTAATCTTTTTCTGATCCAGCATTTTCTGCCTCTACTCTCTGGTCCTGGAATGCTTTCAGCCACAATATATATATGAACTCTGCAAGTGTGTATTTCCTTTAACAAATGGACCTAGGTACCACAGTTGTCTTGGGATGTCAGTAGAGGACAAAAAGAAGATGAGGCCCATTTCTGGACATTCGGTGTGGAGAGGGGACGATTGGTGGTGAAATTAACCTAATCTTTGATCTTCTTTCAACATTTAGACGAAAAGAATGGGCAGCAGCTCCGTTTCCCAGGCACCCCAACCCGCAGCTGCCAGCCGTCTCGCCGCTCTGAATCAGACATCCCAACTGAACAACATCGACATGGCTCCAAGGACAAGAAGCTTGTCTCCTCTAACGGGACTCAAGTCCAGCAACCACAAACTCCGTCCCCACAGCAGCCATGACATATGGAGCAGGAGAGCAGTACATGGGTGGCTGGGGGGGAAAAAGCAGCTGAAAGAAGCCACCTCCAGCCCCCTGGAAATAACTAAAGCCACCCCTAATGGACAGGAGGAGCCAACCAGCCCCATCGATGGGTCAAGGCCCACCAGGGACGCAAGGGACAGGGTGGGAAGATGGAGATTGGTCCAGATTTAATGACCCCAACTCACCCTGGGGCAAAAAGGGGCCATGTTGGGAGAGGCCCATACTGTGAACTTGTAAATAGCTAACGAAGAACAGAAAACAGAACAAATCCACAAAAGAACAAGAGGTGGGCGGGAAAACACAACATGGAACCGAAAACAAAGACAATGGACTGAAGGGGAAAAAACGGAAAACACACATGAGGAGAGAAACCGGGCAGGAGCCGGTGGGGGTGAGGGATTTAATCTGATTCCTTTAGTGGGACGGTGGGGGTCTTTATTTTCTCAAACCCTTTCAGACCCCCTCCTCACTTTCTTGCCTTGAGACTTATTTTTCTCCCCCCCCTGCTTTTTCTTCTGTAGTATTTACAGTATCATGGTGGCATTAAGCTAAAATTATGAGACAGAGCTAGTAGGAAGATGTCCTGTGTAGGAAAGAAATTAAAAGTTTCCATTCCCGTTTCTTTTTCTTCTTTTTGATTTTTTTCCATTTTATGTAACCGGTCAATGTTTTAAAAACATTTTCATGAGTTGGGGTGAAAATATTTACCAGAATTCTAATAAACATTTTGTTACAAGACAAACTTTTGAAAAATTCTCCCCTAAATCTGTATTTAAAAAAAAACAAATAAGCCAAATCTAAATGTGAAATATGGAATCAAATTAGAAATTCAGGATCCAGAAATTCAGACTACGTTGTGCTTATACTATAGTATACTTACGGGCAGCTGGCATTTTGGAAATTTACTCAAAAAATAAATGGGAAAAGTAAGTAAGTAAAGAAAGAAAGAAATAAAAATGCCGAATGCCAAGAATTACCTAAAGCTTCAATAATAAATACAGTACAGTTTCAAATCGCAATTTTTGGAAAATCAGCAAATATAACCTGTGCATGGCCAGGAATAGTCAATAGCATTAAAAACGAGCCATCTGAGTTTGCAAAACAATTGTAGCACAGTGTAGTTATATTCTCCATTCTTACTCCAACTTGGGTTCTGAACTAATGTGAATGCTCTTTATTCCAATTAAATGGATTTGGGGAACTTTCAGATTTGGTTTTTATTGTGCACTTCTCCTGCTTTGTATCACAGCTCTTTAAGGAGGTCATTGGCAGATTTTAAATTGTGACTGTATTAAGGGCAAATGGCTATTTTAAGAGAGGAATTCTTTTTTTTTTCAGCTGTCCCTGAATTTATAAAAGAAACATGAGTATATTTCATAACATAACATCCCATCCTATTCTATTTTTGACTGTGTCCTTCTATTGCCAAAATTAGGGGTTTTTAAAAGCATTTCTATAATTTCTGCTAGCTGGCAATATCTCAACAATTGAATATACCCACTAATCTCAGCTTCTCATTGGCTCTGTCTCATGTAATTTTAGCAGCCCTGACAGAACACTTTAACTCTTAAATGGGCTATATACAATCCAACTCCTTTCCCAAGGCCTCTGTCCTTTTTGCAAAGGGCCCGGTCCCCTTCCCACACAAGGCTGTCCTCTCTCTCTCTCTCTCTCTCTCTCTCTCTCTCTCTCTCTCTCTCTCTCTCTCTGTGTGTGTGTGTGTGTGTGTGTGTGTGTGTGTGTGAGTGAGAGAGAGAGAGAGAGAGAGAGAGAGAGAGGTTGAGAAGGAAATCATGAGTAGAGGGTAGTGAGTTATTGATTGAAGATAGCAGGAAGGAGGGTGTCTCATAAAACGGAGACAATTTGGATTATATGGTTGAAGTTGCCATCTTGACTTTTTTTTTTTTTTTTGACAAGCCTCTCCTTGCCCAGGATGCCCCTGAAAGGCAGAAGATTGTGAGGACACCAGGGTTAGGACCTGCTGCTTCAACATTGTCAACATTTGAACAAGGGGCATTGAACAACATTAGGACCTGCTGCCTCAATATTTGAACAAGGGGCAAACTTCACAAAAATTAGTAACTGGGATGGAGAGATGGGAGCCAAAAAAAACCCCTAAGGTTTCATAACTCAATGTGCAGCAAGATATTCATCCTTGATCCTACATCTTGGAGCCTTGAGGTAGGGTAGGTTATGGGAAGTCTCCAAAATCAATCCTATTTCTTTTTCCTCCTTCCCATCCTGTTCGAGTAGATTCTTTCTCTCGGCTGGGAGGGGAAGCACAAGCTGTAAGGAAAGGCATATGTTGGTGTGGACATAGACTGGAGAGAATTAGATGTCATCCACATCCCTTCTGCCCCGTTTCCTAGCTGGGTCTGCCCATCTCTTTTATGAATCCATTCTTATTGTTTGTATACACACATATGAAAATGCACACACACACCATCCTGGTAATTTCCTCTTCCCTCTGATAGTCCATGTTCTGTCATCCCTGGGAAGGAATCTAAATATATATATTTAGATCATATATATATGATCACTCAAATTCTTTTGCTGCCGAGAGCTGAGTGGTTCTGTCTTGAATACGGATAAAATCATCAACAAGGTCTCATCAAGGAAAGTGATTTTGGCTACTTGGGAAAGGATTGGTGATACCATTTTTATGCTATGAACACTGATGCATTTTGTAATCATTTTGCTAAGAAAAAGCTCACACATCCATCATCGTAAGAGAACCTGCAATTATTTCAGGTTTTCAGAGTATGGTCATCAAGAGATGGAGCTATCCAAATCAGAGGGGCATCTGGGTTGAGTTTTAGACACATAGTCTAAGCCAGGATATTAAATGTACAGGTAACCCTTACGTAATGACCATAACTGAGCCCAGAATGTCTACTTAAGTTGTTGCGGTTGTTAAGTGAGTCACTGTGTGACTGTTTTTACAAGCAAATTATGTGGTCATTAAGCAAATTGATTCTCCTAAGTGGATTTTTTTTTTTGCCAGAAGCTAGCAAAAATTAGCAAATTGGGGCCATATGACTGTGGGACATTGAACCAGTCATAAATGCGAGTCAGTTGCCAAGCTGCCAAGAAATGTGATGATATGGCCACAGGGAGGAGGGTCTATGTTCATTAGTTGTAACTTAAGGATGGGTTGTAAGTAACTTTGGGGGTGGTCTGTTGTAACTTCAAATGGTCCTTAAGTGACCTGTCATTAAATGAGGACTGATTGTGCAGTTAGTTCTCAACTTATGACCACAATTGAACCCAAAATTTCAGCTGTTAAGCGAAACGATTATTAAGTGAGTTTTGCCCAATGTTACGAACTGTCTTGCCAGCGTTGTTAACTGAATAACTGCAATTGCCTAGATCCATGCTGGCAAACCTATGGTACACGGGCCCAAAGTGGCAGACAAAGCCATGTTGCCCAGCACGCGCAGCCTTGCATGTTTGCCTTCTGGGTTTCTGGTGCGCATGTGTGTGTGATGATCAGCTGTCCTTTGTGCATGCAGCAATGCTGAAAACTGGTGTGAGCATGCGTGCTGGCCAGCTGTTTATTGGGTGCGCATGCACACCAATTTGGCTTTTCCAGAGTGTGATCCCTTCACACGCACGGGAGTGCCAAAAACTGGCCTGCGCACATGCACCAGCCAACTGATCATCGGGCGTGCATGTGCGCTAGAACCCGGAAGTTCGGCTTTTCCAGAGTTCAGCCCTGGCGAGCGTGCATACACGTGCATGATGTTTCCGCACGAGTGCCGAAAAGGTTCACCATCACTGGCCTAGATAGTAACAAGATTGTAAAGTGAATCTGGCTTCCCCATTGACTTTGCTTGTCAGGTCACAGAAAGTGATCACATGACCCTGGGACACTGCAACCATCATAAATATGAGCTGGTCGCCAAGCAAATTCTGATCACATGAACATACAGGGATCCTGCAACGATCTAAGTGTGAAAAACAATCATAAGTTACTTTTTTCAGCGCCATTGTAACTTTGATCACTCACTAAATGAATTATTGTAAATGGTGTATAGATGAAACTAATGACCGTATCTTCAGGAATTTAAGGATAGATTTAAGTGTTTGCCAGGAATGAGGAAAGATATATGGGTATAAAAGTGGGCAATGAAAAACAAGGCTCTATGATTGGACTATGAGCTCAGATCTCTGTGTTATAAAGGATGGCACCCTTAAAATCTGTGTTGAAAAGTAGTAGATGGTATATAAATTTCTGCACAAGCAGGGTTAAGGACAATGCAAATGCAGAGATTCATGCAAAGATTATAGCCGTGAAAGGGGCTGCAGAAAGTGGCATACACAATGGAAAAAAATGAGACAAAAAAGTTTACCTGCAAAATAATTCATTATGTTCATGAATCCCATTAATTAACAAAAAAAAATCCATTATTAACAAGGAAAGGCTGTGATTCTGGGAATTGACATCCATAGGTTATAAGATTGCTATAACAGGAGTTGTCCACCTGTGTTAGAATGTGTCTGAAGAGATGGCATTATTTGGGGAACAGTCTGTTTAGAGGCCATCATCTTTTCTAAAAGATTCCAGGCATGCTTTGATTTAGGAATGGTTAATTCTCTTTACTGTCCCCTCTCCAAAGTTATCATGGAATTATTCAGTATCCTTTGATTGCCAGAATTCATCTTCACACTTGCAGAAATCCGTCTGGGACTCTTTCCCGCTTAGCTAAAAATGTATTGTTATCTTGAAACGTTTGTCAATCTTCAGTTGATTTTAGAGGTTTTATCGCCAAATCTTTCTGGAAGATAACAGCCTTTCTATTTTCTACATAGTTAAATATACTCAATATAATATTAACGCTGCATACAAATGCACCAGACCTGCTATGATCTAAGAGAAAGAGAGAGAGGAAAGATTCTTCTGTGAACAAAATAGGATCCAAAAACTTTACATTTATTAAATTTCCATCATAAAAGAACTGAAATTAAGTCAGGAAAAGTTATTATACTGTAAATACAGCAATTAAAATAAAAGTTGTCAGGGAGGAAGATAGAAGTGTTTGCCCCCTTTGTGGCACAGTATAATTTAGGCAAAGTTTTAACAAAACGTAAAAGGAAGAAGGAACCTTTGGATTTTCAGATCTGGCCTTCTAATGGGATAATTCAACTTCATTAAATATTAGGAAAAGCAAGTTCCTTTTTGATCAGAGGAAGGACACCCAAAGTTGTTAACTTCTAGGAGATGTAAAGAAACTGGATTCACTCCAATCAATATAAATCTAGTGTATACACTGATATACACATTTTAAGAAGTTGAATATTTTAAGAAACTGGATAGTATCATTATTCTGCATGTCTGAAAGAAACAATTCATGTATATGTCGGTATAACCATTCTATGGGTTTTGACTGTTTAAACCGGTTTTAGAATATAAGTACGTTTAGTTTAGTCAGCGTTGAGGTAATAAGATCTACTCTGCAAAATGGTTGTGCAGCATTTTGGCTGCTTTCTTCATTTGTTCTCATCCATGGCTCTGCTGGCAATGATGGAAGAGAAGAAAAAATATTCATTTTTATCTATACTAAGGAATCAATAATCCTCCGAGGAGAAAAAAAACCAAGGCTTCATCACTTTTCAATTTGTAACAAATTCTTCCATCAAGCTGGTTTGGGCAGGTAAGCTGGCTAATTGAGAAGTTACTAGCAGAAAATTAAATAGATTTTTTAAAAATCTATTTAAAAAAACAAAAGAACAAGATGATGACAAGTAGATCTTCCAATGAAAAACATTGGGACTAACTTCCCTGACAGGAAAAAAAAACAAAACAAGGCTGAATCCTTATAAAGGATACCTAGGATACTTCTCCTCTACAGAATTATATGGATCCAAAGCACGGCCAGATAAGAAGACTTTTCAAATGAGAAAATAATAGGTCTGGCAATGTTTTGGGTTCTCTTTCCCTCACAGCCAAATGCTAAGGACTTGATGCAGTGTTTTTCCACCAAAAAAAAAAAAAAAAAATCAGGCCTGGTGCATGGACAAGACGCCACAAGAGGAATCAGAGTGAAAGTGTTTGTACTGATATCTGCACATTCGGGAAATCATCCTCTGCACACCGGGGCAGGATATGGATTGAGCAGCCGCCGATGTGCTGGAAATCCACCGCAAAAAGGCCAAACAGCAGGAAGAGGTCCATAGCCAAGGCCCATTCGCAGTAGGCTGCCTCCGAATGCAGTTGTAGGAAGAAAAGAACAACCGCTGAAATTGAAAAGTCAAGGCATCATAATTTCCAGCTAGTAGAATCAAATTTACCACAAAGTTGGAGAGAGGGAGAGAGATTCCAGGAATGGCTTCAGTCTAATGGGAAGTGGAAGAAGATGGTCCTTTGTGAGAAAACACAAACGGGTTTCACAAAAGTCTTGCTAAGCCGGGGATGGGTTGCCTTCAACCCTCAGGCCCACTTTTGAACTCTAAAATTATACAGGTAGTCCTCGATTTATGACCAAAATTGAGCCCAAAATTTCAGTTGCTAAGTGAGAAATTTGTTAAGAGAGTTTTACTCCATTTTAAAACCTTTCTTGCCGTGGTTGTTAAGTGAATTAAATTAGTAACACGGTTGTTAAGTGAATCTGGCTTCCCCATTGATTTGCCTGTCAGAAGCTTGCAAAAGGTGATCACATGACCCCGGGACACCGCAATCGTCATAAATATGAATCAGTTGCCAAGCATCTGAATGTTAATCATGTGAACCTAGGGATGCCACAAGTGTGAAAAACATTCATAAGTTACTTTTTTTCAATGCCGTTATAACTTTGAACGGTCACTAAATGAACTGTTGTAAGTCGAGGGCTACCTGTACCACCAAAACCAGCAGCAAATTTCAGCAGCCCGGTTCTTAGCACTTTCTGAGGAAATGTTTACGCATTTTAAAAAAAAGAGTAAAAATATTTTTAACCAGACTCATCCTCCTCCTCCTCCCTGAAAATCAGGGCCCCAAAATTTGGATCACAGCGCTTACAAAGATGTCAGCCATCACTATCCTCAAAAGTCCTCCAAGGTTAAAAAATGTTAAAAGTATTCTTTTAACAGCTATAAGGTTGCGTGTGGCTGTGTAAAACTCTTAACTAAGCCAGAAACGGCTGGATTCAGAACACTTCTGTAAAGCAGCCCTACAATCCACAAGAACTGGGATTCATGATTAAAAAGTGAACCATAATGTGGGCTGCTTGGTAGTAAAGAAAGGCCTGATCAGTGAGAACTTATCTATTCCTTCAAATAGAATTACACTCAATTGCATTTACCGGTAGGTAATCTTGTCAGATGAGCAAGACTCGCCCTTTTCCAGCTTCCCAAGGATAGATCTGCTAGTTCAAGGCAGAAACTCTTGCATCTCATGGCCCCCTTGCGGCCAGAGGACAGGTCAGCTGGCAAAATGGGAAAACAAATGTACAAGACTCCTCACTCTGAGTTTTAAGGGACATATCAGGAGCCTGACAGTTACTTTCTTATACCAGCCTTGGGGAAAGTGTTCCCAGGCTCTTAATAAAAGATTCTTCAACACTATTCCCTAAAGATCTATGGAGATTCTTAGTCATCCAGGCCATAGTTGTCCCAAAGGTGCTTTTTTCAAAGGGAAACTGGACTTCCTTTGTTTTTCCTTGAAGACTTCAAGGAAAAACAAAGGAAGTCCAGTTTCCCTTTGAAAAAAGCACCTTTGGGACATTCCCTAAAGAACTGAAGTCCTCGCTGATCTTGCAACGCTCCCTAAAACATGTTTGGAGAAAAATCTCATGAGGCCCGTGCCTCTTCCAAACAAATCTTAGGGTGATAGTAACATGGATTCTACCTCTCCTGACCCTTCAACCCTGAAGGCTGCTAGCTGCAGCTTCACCATCTCTTCCCGAACACCCCTACTCCAGAACTGTAATTCCTCCCCACTCACCGGCCCACCCCCACGCTCCAGCTGTACCGATCTCTTATTCAGGATACTGGAAATAAACAAAATGGAACCAGAAAGGCTAAGAAAGAAGCGGAGTGGTACAATCCAGGCTCCTCCATGTCTTGGTTTCACTTGTTTGGTCAGCAAGGTCTGGACCCAGAAATAAATGTTTCCAATCACAAAAGCCAAGAAGGCGCCTGTAACATGGACTTGCAGCTCATTATATTGCTGCAAAAGAGGGAAAGATAGAAAGGTCATTCTTTAAATGGTGAGGAAGAACATAATTATATAGATTGTGCAATCAAATAACAAGGTAGTATAGGACTTACAACGGAGCTTAAAATTTCTGTTGTTAAGCGAGACATATATTAAGTGAATTTTGCCCCATTTTATTACTTTTTCCCCCCACAGTTGTTAAGTGAATCACTGCAGTAGTTAAGCTAGTAATACAGTTATTAAATGAATCTTCAAGGTTGACTCAGCCTTCCATCCTTCCGAGGTAGGTGAAATGAGGACCCGGATTGTGGGGGCAATAAACTGTCTTTGTATTAAAAAAAAAAAAGAACACCGCTTAGGGGGGACCAAAAGCCCTACTAAGCAGGTATACAGTATGAAGGCTATTGCTTAACGCATTGTAAGCCACCCTGAGTCTCTGGAAAAGGGCGGCATATAAATCGAACCAATAAATAAATAAATAAACAATAAATAAATCTGGCTTCCTCATTGACTTTGCTTGCAGAAATATCGCGAAATGTGATCACATGACTGCATTGGTCATAAATATACGTCAGCTGCTTAGCATCTGGATTTTGTTCACATGACCATGGGGATGCTGTGGCAGTTGTGTGAAAAATGGCCATAAGTCACTTTTTTCAGTGGTGTTGCAACTTTGAAGTGTCGCTAAACGAGCTGTTGTAATTCGAGGACTACTTGCAGTATCAATTAGAAAAGTGCTGCTTCCCAGCTTCAGATGCTAGAATTATCTCAGAGGGAAAAACTCTTAATAGCCTTTAGTACTAATTTAAATTAAAGGATCTCAGTAATGAGAACCCATTTGGTGTAGTGGTTAAAGAGCTGGATTAGGAATCGGGGAGATTTGACTCCTTTCTTAGGTAGGAAAGTTGGCTGAATAACTTTGGGCCAATCACACTCTCACAGCCCAAGCCCCCTCATGGCATTGTGATCATGGAAAATAGAGGACAAAGAATCATTGTGTATGCCACCTTGACTTAGACAAAATAAAGGTGGGATAACGGTGGGATGATGCATCCTTTCGGGTTTTTTTTTTTACGTGTGCCAGTGTCTTCACAGAAAAAAATGACAATAAGGTTATCTCATCTCATCTCTTAAATAAAAAATAGTTTGTTCTCTTCTCAGTAGTGACTCTTGCATTGGGCAGGAGTGCTGTTGTACAGGCATTCCTTGAGTTATAACCATTCAATCAATCAAGAGCACCTGACCGACTCAGGCGGATGTGGCAGCGGGGCAGTATTTCCTGGCTGGGTGGCCGGCCATCCCACCAGCTGCTCCTGCTGCTGTAAGGGGCAAGGGGGTGGCAGCGGTTCTTGTGCTGCTGCTTCCAGCCGGGATGCTGGAGCAACCACGAGGAAAAGGAGCTGCCATCGGGGAGGCAAGCTGCCCCAGGAGGGCTGGAGGAGAGTGCAGCTTCTCATGCATGGAGACGCCACCGAGGGGTAAGAGGAGCACCGGCTGGAAAGCAGGAAGGCGCCACCAAGGGGTAAGAGGTGCGCTAGCCAGGAAGCAGGAAGGCACCACCACGGGATAAGAGGTACACCGGCCGGGAAGCGGCTGGGAAGGGGCCAGACTGTGCTGGCTTGTTCTCGGTGGTAGGCTGGGGGGGAGGATCTTCATCCCAGCCAGAGTTGGAGTGAAGTTCTCCTGCCTGCTGGGCCCCCAACCTGAACCTCAGGAACACCAACGCCCCTTCCCTCCGAGACTGGGAAGGGGCTCCGGCTTTCCAGCGGAGGGAGGTGGCATTCCCCACCCAACTTTCTCTCTTTGTCTGGGGCTGTGGAACCAGGTCATTGGTGGGGATGTCTCACCACCCTGATGGGGACCAGGGGGTGGGCAGGGAGGTATGAGGACCCGCGAAAGGCCAGGCAGAGCTGGCGCATGCACACTAGACAGATGGTCTTCACGCATGCATGCGCACCACAAACCAGAAGACCAGGTGGCTGGCACACATGCGTGCGCCAGAAACCAGACGATCATCTGCTCTTCTGGTTCTCGGCATGTGGGTGCGCGCACACACGCTCCCATTTCAGCACTCAGTGCCGAAAAGTTTCACCAACACTGGTCTATGGAGATTCGATTTCCATCTATGGAGATTCCTTGACTTTCTCTTCCCCCTGCTTACATCTCAGTGGTAGCTTACCTGGAAATTCCCCACCAATGATGCACCAAAGGCACAAAGTAGACCTAAGATAAGTCCAAATAGATTCAGACGGGATTGATAGCCATAATCTCGGACTTGTTTGTACTTTATAAAGCAGACCACCATACCTGAAAATAACAGTGGGATAAATTTCTATCATTTTTTTGTCAGATAGATTTATAGCTTAATATGCTGACCCAATGTTGTTAGAGACAAAAGATCCCCAAAAGAATCTGCTGCTCCTTACATAGGTCAGCATATCCCCCTCCCTCCCTCCCTCCCATCCTTCTTTTCTTCTTTCCTTCTTCCACAATGGTAAATGACCCACATTCTTTGAAAGACAGCAGAGAACAAACAATGGTGCTTGAACAGATCATGCTGGCTGGTTCAGACATTATGCCAAGCCATGGTTTCTTTCAACATGGTTCACTGAAAAAAAAATCACCTTTGGTTGGTTTGTTCAATACTTAAGTATGGTGAAAAACTCACTCAAGAAACACCAACAAGTGGAAATAGTGCCTCTTGAAGACAATATAGTAGAACTGTGCTCAGTTTATCCTAGCAGAAATGCAGGAGTCAGAGAGTATCTTTTCTGAGTAACAATTTGTATTAAAAGGAATACACTTTCCAGAACTGAAGCTGAGTTAATGCCTTTTAATTACATTTGTTATTCAGAAAAGGTGATGCCACATTTTTTATTTTTTTTAACATAGAAATAATTTGCTGAGCATTTTATTATTTCAAAGCAAGTAGGTTATAGTATAGTAGAGGAGAGCAGAGCAGAGGAGAGCAGAACAGGAGATGGAGGGACCTTGAAGGAAATAATTTGCTGAGCATTTTATTATTTCAAAGCTAGTATGTTAGAGTAGAGCAGAGCAGAGTAGAACAGGAGATGGAGGGACCTTGGAGGCCTTCTAGTCCAGCCCCCTTCTCAAGCAGGAGAACCTATACCATTTCAGATAAGTGACTGTCTAGTCTCTTCTTAAAAACGTCCGATGATGGAGGCCCATGATTTCTGAAGGCAAGCTGTTCCACTGGTAATTAGCCCTCACTGTTAGGAAATTTCTCCTTAATTCCAGGTTGCCTCTCTTCTTGATTAGTTTCCAACCATTGTTTCATGTTCTGCCTTCTGGTGCTTTGTAAAATAATTTGACCCCCTCTTCTTTGTGGCATACCCCTTAGGTTATGGCAAGTCCCTGGTTGTATCCAAGAGCAAGAAACCCAAAGTTACATAGATGTTATGTAATGTTGATCAAGGACAGTTTACATATGCCTATATCTATAGAGATTCCAGGGGAGAATTCTTTTACAATTGCAAGATAAGAAAGGAGACTGGAGAACTAGTCACAGTGTGAGGGGGGGCGAGGGGGGGCCTACAATAATTTTCTTTGAAATGCAACAATGTAGCTTTGATATAAGAGAAGTGCCAAGACTAATTGTTATTCTAACAAGTTGGCCTTGGACTTAACTGCAGAAAGAGGAAAGATAAGGAAACGGTCATTATTGGCTATCTGCTGCCTTTCACTAAAGATTCCATTGGCATTAACACTTCACTGGAAACATTGGCCCAACTAAAAGAATGCTACAATTAATTGAACCAAAGAACACATTTATCAACCATAGCATCTGGATTCACGCAACTTAATAACTGTGTAAAGCTTGAGGATTGTGTAACACATTCAGTATTCTAAAACCCTTGACTGTTTCTTTAAAAAAAAAAAAAAAAGGAGCTCTACGGAAGGAATAGATCTGGGGAAAAAAAAACAGTTTTAACAACTCACCCTGGCTTCTTCTGAAAGGGGTGAGAGCAGGGGTGGGCTTCAAAATTTTTAGCAAGGGGCTCTCTGCCCAGTTGCTGGGTAGGGGTGGGCATGGTAGGCGTGGCTCAGTCAGCCTCCTGCACCATGGTAGGGAGGGTGTTTTTGCCCTCCCCAGGCTCCGGAGGCCTTACGCCTCCGGGAGGGTGAAAATGGCCTCTCCAGTCTTCAGAGGCCTTCTGGAGGCTGGAAACGGACCATTCCCGGCCTTCCTGAACTTCCGGTAGGCCCGTTTCCCCAAGCCTCCACGCTCACCCTGCACTTACCTGCATGGGGACCGCATGGGGACGCCTGGAAAGGGCGGGGTGGGCTAGCCAGGAGTGGGATTTGGGGGTTCTCCGAACTGCAGAGAATCTTAGCTAGAGGTTCTTCCGAACCCCTGCGAATCCCCAGCAGCCCACCCCTGGGTGAGAGGTCATCAGGATTCCCATATTCAGGAGTATCCATTGCAGATTGAGGGCCGATTGAGTCTGCTTATTGAATTGATTGTTGTATTAAGCTATTAACTACATGGTCTTGTAGCAGTTTACAGTATGAGGAATAGATGGAGAGAAATACCTTACCTAAAAAGGCTCCTAGATTAAGAATTTGTCCAAACACGCAACTCTGGGGTGGAGAAGCACCGCATGTGCTAAGAAACAAGAAATTAGGAAATTTTACATAACTAGGTGCAATTTTAGAAGCTGCGGCTGTTTTCATCATTGCTTCAGAAGTTCCATCCCAATATGTTATATTCAAAGAGGCCAAAGATTGCACTTGTTGAGAGTGTGGTGGCACGACAGCTTCCCCGGCACCTGGATGAAGCTATCTATCTAGACCCGTACCAGTCGGGCTTCAGGCAGAGGTACAGCACAGAAACGGCATTGGTCGCGTTGGTGGATGATCTCTGGAGGGCTCGGGACAGGGGTTGCTCCTCTGTCCTGGTCCTATTAGATCTCTCAGCAGCTTTTGATACCATCGACCATGGTATCATGTTGCAGCGGTTGAGGGGGTTAGGAATAGGGGGCACCGTCCTGCGGTGGTTCTCCTCCTTCCTCTCCGACCGCTCGCAGTTTGTGTTGGCAAGGGGGCAGAGGTCGACCTCGAGGTGCCTCGCATGGGGAGTGCCACAAGGGTCGATCCTCTCACCCCTTCTGTTCAACATTTATGTGAAGCCGCTGGGTGAGATCATCCGTGGTTTTGGGGTGAGAGTCCATCAGTACGCTGATGATACTCAGCTGTACATCTCCACCCCAGACCACCCCAACGATGCCCTTGATGTGATGTCTCGCTGCCTGGAGGCCGTGCGGGTCTGGATGGGGCGAAATAGGCTCAGACTCAACCCTTCCAAGACCGAGTGGCTGTGGCTTCCGGCGTCCCGATATAGTCAGCAGGTGCCATCGCTGACTATTGGGGGTGAATCTCTGCCCCCCCACAGAGAGGGCTCGCAATCTGGGTGTCCTCCTGGATGCATGGCTGTCTTTAGAAGAGCATATGACGGCCGTGGCCAGGGGGACTTTTTATCAGGTTCGCCTGATTTGCCAGTTGCAGCCCTTTCTGGACTGGGATGCCTTGTGCACGGTCACTCATGCCCTTGTCACCTCCCTGCTGGACTATTGTAATGCTCTCTACATGGGGCTCCCCTTGAAGAGCACTCGGAGGCTCCAACTGGTCCAGAATGCGCCTGCGCAGGTGATTATGGGCACAACTTGTTGTGCCCACGTGACACCACTCCTGCGCGAGCTGCACTGGCTCCCAGTGGTCTTCTGGGTGTGATTCAAGGTGTTGATCACCACCTTTAAAGCGCTCCATGGCATAGGGCCCCAGTACCTTCGAGACCGACTTCTGCCACCAATAGCCTCCCACCGGCCAGTCCGCTCCCACAGAGAGGGTCTCCTCAGGGTGCCATCGTCCAAATTATGTCAGCTGGGGACACCCAGAGGGAGGGCCTTCTCTTTGAGAGCCGCTGCCCTGTGGAATGAATTACCCCCGGAAATGCGTAAGATCTCCAACCTCCGTGTATTTCGCTGTGCCCTCAAGACCCTGTTGTTCCGTCAGGCCAGGCTATCGATGTAATGATTTTAAATTGGGTGTTTTAAATTTTTGGAGTTTTAAATCTGAGCCGAAATTATTTAATAATTTTAATAATTTTTAATTGATGTCTGTCTTTGTGCTTTTAATAGGCTGTACACCGCCCTGAGTTCTTCGGGAGAAGGGCGGTATAGAAATAAAATTATTTATTTATTTATTTATTTATTTCCCCAGGCTGGTGCTTAGGTTGTATTAGGTTATAATTCTCATTAATTTATTCTTGTGGCAAAGGTTGATTTAAAAAAACACACACCAATACTTGACTTTTCTAATACATATTTGGATTAAGGAATATTTTCTGTGTAAAAGGAAGTTGACACAGTCTATAGCTTGGGCCAGGGGTCTCCAAATTTTGCAAACTTAAGTCTTGTGGACTTAAACTCCCTGAATTCCACAGCCAGTCTGGCTGAGGAATTCTGGGAGTTGAGGTCCACAAGTCTTAAAGTTGCCATTTTGGAGCTCCTGGCTTAGGCTAGGCAGATAATGCTCCCTTTTATCCGATGGCCCTGTTTGCCCTCCCTCTCTCCTGGATCTTTTGAAGGGTAGATAGTTTCTACTCCATCTCTGCAATTTTTCCAAGATCAAATGTAAAAGTCAATTATATTTAGGTTAGATTTGCCAGATTCTTAAGCAAATTTGGATGAGCAAGGTGATTAACATACATGCCATATCTCAACTGGCATGTGATTTATTCACACACATTGAACCGAGGTGGCGCAGTGGTTAGAGTGCAGTACTGTAGCTACTTCAGCTGACTACTAGTTCAGCAGATCAGCAGATCAAATCTCACCGACTCAAGGTTGACTCAGCCTTCCATCCTTCCGAGGTGGGTAAAATGAGGACCCAGATTATTGGGGGCAATATGCTAATGCTAATGCAATATGCTAATATGCAATATGCTATATGGTAACTTTGTAAACGACTTAGAGAGGGCTGTAAAGCACTATGAAGCGGTATAGAAGTCTAAATAAAAAAAAACCATTAATAAAAATAAAGTACAGGTAGCTATCGACCTCCAAAAACATTTGTTCAGTGACTGTTTGAAGTTTCAACAGCAATGAAAAAAGGGAATTACGATCAGTTCTCAATTTATGACCATCACAGCATCCCTATGGTCATGCGATCAAAATTCAGGCACTTGGCATACATCTATAAGGGTTGCAAAATCTTAGGCTCCTGTGATCACCATTTCCCACCTTCTCAGACATCTTCTGGAAGCCAGATTTGCTTAATGACCGCATTATTCACTTAAATGCAGTTATTTGCTTAACTGTGGCAACAAAGGTTGCAAAATTGAGTGTAGCTCACATAACAATCACTGTGCTTAGCAATGGAAATTTTGACCCCAGTGTGGTCATAAGTTGAGGATGATCTGTACTTAAGAGATGAAACCCTTCTTCCAACTATCCAAAACCCTTTCTTAACCGTCTGTCCACTTTAATCTAAATCCTCAGTTTTTTTGCTTGCTTACCTTTTTACCCTTTTGATTTAGGACAGCTATCCCAAATCATGGCAATTTCCAAGTATGTGGACTTCAACTCCCAGAATTCCACAGTCAAGCATGGCCACTGAGGAGAATTCTGGCAGTTGAAATTCATACCAGAAATTACTAAGATTGGAAAACACTATCTTAAATTATAAGTGACAAAAATATAAGCAGGGGAACAACTTGGAGAGGCTGTTCTATAAAACAGAGGCAACTACAAAAAAGTCCTTCACCTCTACCAGGGATAACTTGGCCTTTACGAATTGGGGAAGAACAGGATCAGAACAGAAGAAGATTCTTCAGAAGATTGTGAGTTGGTGAAGTAACCTCTCCTACCTGCTCCCCAAAATACCTGAATTTGAATCCCCCCCTTACCTGATATATGGGAAAGCTTCGGTGATATTGACGGAGCCATTTGTGACTGCCATGGCAAATCTGAAGAAATGAGAACCTGGTAAGACAACTAGAACAATCTTATCGAAACTTAGCTTGTTATTCTTAGTTAACTTAGTCTTAGACAATATATTGCAGGCACATTTGGGTGGATAAAAATATGGAAACGATGGGCATAACATCCCCATGGAAGGCTCATTATCCTTAATGTGCACTTACTACAGTAGGCAGGGTTTTGTTGTGATGCCATCTTCATGCCCTTCTTCCCAGTACATGTTTCTGGTACATAATGCACATTACAGCTATGCACACCTTAGTAGTGTGTTTTGGACTGTGTGTGAACAGAGCAGCTAGTTTCACATGAAACTTTGCCCCACCCTTAAAGTTAGCATTTTTTCACATTCATAGAAAAATTTTCTATCTGAATGAAATGCAAATACATTTTCTTCATCTTTTATAAACTACAGATAATCCCCAATTTACAACTATTTGTCTAGTGACCGTTTGAAGTTATAACGGCACTGAAAAAAGTGATGTATGACAGGTTTTCACACTTATGACTGTTGCAGCATTCCCATGGTCACATGATCAAAATTTGGACGCTTGGCAACTGGTTCATATTTATGATGGTTTCAGTGTCCCCGGATCATGTGATCATCTTTTGTGACCTTCTGACAAGCAAAGTCCATGAAGAAACCAAATTTACTTGACAACTGTATTACTTACTTAACAACTGCAGTGATTCACTTACCAACTGTGGCAAGAAAGGTCATAAAATGGGACAAAATTCACTGAACAATTATCTCACTTAGCAACAGATACGTTGGCCTCAATTGTGGTCAAAGATTACCTGTATATACAATCCTAGTACAGATCATCCAGCATTTCACCCAGCAATGGTTTCTCAGATATATGTATTTTTAATATAAATCAGCTTTTTCTAATCTGAAGCCTTCCAAAAATGAGGTTTGATGGGATTTCTAAGAATAGAGATCTCTGAATATCTGGAATCCATATGTTAATATTAACATTGTAGGAAGATGCTTTGACTCAGCATAATTGGTGAATCTTGTTACTCCAGATATCTGGGATTATTAAAGGCAGCACAATTTGGGGTTCAAGCTGTAGTTCTGCCAATGACTCCTTAACAATTGAAGCCCATTCACCCTATTTAAAACTTTGCAATTTTTTGAAGTGCTACAGGAACTGTACTGTCAAACAGATGCAACAATTCCCACCAAATTGCACAATTATGCCAAAGTAAGCCAATTTACTCCGATTATAGAGCATTTTAACAGAAAGATTCTTTGTGGAAGGATACTCAAACTGCCTAATTAACTATTAAAAGTAAGCCCTATTTTGTACCATTAAAACATTAACAACTGAATAGACTAGGGTGAGGTCCTGCCTGCTTTTCTTTGTTAACATTTGCATCTTATTAAGCAACATCATATTATGCATCATATTGTTCCTTCAACAAAGGAAATTAACAGGAAACCTAGTTAAGAACAGCCACAGATTGGGTAATAGTAATAGTTAAAAAAGAATGGGAGGTAGCAGATTTAATTATATGTTAGGTATACCTCATTTCAGAGAGGAAAAAAAGGTGTCTCCTATAATAATGTGTCAGATCTTTTATAAGAATCCATTTTCCTAGATCCCGGAGAAAAAATAAAGATTCCCATCCATTGTTATAAAAACTTTTCTGCCAAAGAGTCTATCTGTCTTGGTAAACCAAACCAAATGAGCTAATTCTACTTTATTCTACAGCTACTTTGATGGAATCTTGCAAGTTTAAAAGTACAATTCTCCAGCCCCTTTATTAGAACCCAAGAAACTAGGGAGCATTTCTTTTGAGCACTTGCCTCGCCCACTATTCAACTGTGGGACTATTGTGTCTCTTATTTGACCATGCTTGGCAGCATATCTTCACCCAGTTCACCCAATTCCCCACAATTTTCCACGTGAGGCATAAGTCCTGGAAGTCAATTAAACTTTTCTGCTACTTCTGAGCTTCCCATCCCCACTCCCAACACAAAATCTAATTTGTGCTCACTTCCATATACGTGCCTGAGCATCATCTATTTGCCCCACCATGCATTTATTACTCACACAACCCAGAAGCCACAAATGCCCACAGCAGCCAGGAACACAGGAAGCACAGGCCAAAGCAACATGGTGAGAGCAAACCTGAAGGCATAAAAAAAAAAAAAAGTAGAAGACCATTAACTGTGGACTCAAGTTCCAGGAATGTGCCAGGATTTGAGGGGGAACAAAATGGGATCAACCAGACAAGAGCCTGGGACAGAGACAATATCCCTGAATTCTATGGAGCTGGATAATAAATATTAGATAAAATAATTACAAGCCAGGTTTTCTGGAATCCCTAATTGACTCCATTGAGAAGATGATTTCCTGAGTCTGCTAAGTCAAGGAAGTCTCCTCAGCTTTCTGCAAAAGCCTTCTGACTTGCAAGTGGATGCCGCGAGATTTAAAGAGGGAAAGCTGGGAGGTTTATATCTCTAGTTACAATTATATGGGTAAAGGTTTAAGGCCATTCCTCTGGCTCATCAACCAACCAGCAAGGCCAGGCTCCTGCCAAGAATGAAAACAAAAGATTTTTTCGCTCATAGCTAAGGACCATGAAAAATTGCACTGAAATCTAGGTATACTAACTGGGAACTGGCACAGTTCTGCTTACTATGCTGTTAGACAACATGCAAAGGTGTCCTGTTGGGGGCTTTGGAACAGATAGTGGGAAAATTGGATACTATACTTGATTAGCCAAAAAATACAGAAGGAATCAGAGATTCTGGGCTTGGTTTTTTGTTTGAAACTTTGGACTTAAGGAGTATGGAGAGTTTCCTTACCCTGGAAATATCTGCTTGCTGTAGTGTTCAAGGTTTTTTTTCCCCTGTTCAGGATCATAACCCTCATGCAGAAGGAATGAAAATATGCCAGGGTGTTTTCTAATCACACACCCAATTCTGGGCTACTCAGTTCGGGCAAAGGGCACTGACATTGCTATCAATGTGGGACTTTTGTCCCAGCCAAAGCTTCATTATGTATGTGACTGACAGCAAAAGCAAAACTTATTCATACTATATCAAACCCTAGTGCTCCTTTAAGAATAGCTTCATGTATTCTTTCAGGAGGAGCCCTCTCTGTACTGGTAGATTCTGGATAAGCTCGATCAACCCCTATAATCCTCAGTCAATATGGCCACTTGGCTATGGGTCCTCAGGATTTGGGGAATTGAAGTCAACGATTTTTAGAAGACTCCTCTGTTGGGATATTTATGTGAACCCAGATTCTTATAGAATGAGTTAATTTTGCATGAAGGCATTTCAGCAGCCAACCAGAGAAAATCAAGGGAAACGGTTAAAAACAAAGCCTAGGTAATTTCTCAGGGAAGAAGTTCGGTAACTTACGGTAATTGATTTAACATCCTCATTCATTGCCACTGTTGAGCTTCTAGCACAGTTGTTTAGAATCTGGAAACCATACTAGGGGAATTAAGCAATCATGGTCCCACATTACAATCTTAAAGGGTAGCAAAGATGAAACCCAGCCAGGATTCATTTGCATTTGCTTCATTGGGTCACCGAAGACCCTGTTGTTCCGCCAGGCCGGGCTATCAACATAATAGTTTTAAATTGGGGTATTCTAAATTTCTGGGGTTTTAATTGAGCCAAATTTATTTAATCATTTTAAATTTTAATTGGTTTTGTCTTGTGTTTTTAAATAGGCTGTACACCGCCCTGAGTAATTATTATTATTATTGTTGTTGGTGTTGTTGTTGTTGTTGTTGTGTGTAATCTACTTTTTGGTTGTGTAGCCCTCCCAAAGCCTGGGAATCTGCCTCTTTGGGAGAAGGTAGTATTCTACTGCCAGGTTTGCTAAAAACGCTGGGTTTTTCCACTATTCTTGACAAATGACTATTATTTATATCTTGAAGAGGTGAAAGGTGAAATGCATTCAAACAAACAGGAAGGGAAGGATTGGTCTCTAAATCACCAAATCCCAATTCCACCTCCAGTTTCCCTAACCTGGTTTTTAGTAAGTGCCTTGGATCACAATTCTCATTATCCTTGGTAGGAGAATGGATAGATTGAAGATGATGGGCATAATTCTTAAGTCAAAGAAGGCAAGAATGCACCAAAATGGAGAAGGATGCTTTTAGTCCAACCCCCTGCCTTCTGACCAATACCCAAAGAGATCCTTGACTTAGCCACACTAGTCCCTTTCCTTAGTAGTAAAATTGTGTTCTGGGGACTGACTGGTTTTGCTCAAGGAATGCCACTCACTGCCCTTCGTGCAATATGATGTTACAATTACTTGGTGCTGGCACAGATGTAATCTGCAGCTTACATGAAGCCAGTGATTTTTTCTTGAAGGAATGTAGTAATCTTGAATTTAAGAAACTGGATTTGCAGCAACACATGGAAGGCTGATCCAGGTAAAAAGATGGTGGGACACATTTTGTCACCTACGAATCAAAAGACAGTGATTTTAGGACCTGAAAAGTGAATGTCTGTGTAACTTGAGAGTAGCCAAATAGTCTGATTATTAGTATGTGTCACGGCAGCTCAATTCACGCAATGCATTTTTCTGGAAAAAAAGCAACAACCAATGGCTGAATTTGTACATTATATTTAGCTGAAACCAAGTGTTAATACTACAGATAGAGATAGAGCCAGATGGCCAGATTTACAGAATAAACCACAATTGGCTGAGTTCATGCAACAAAGCCATATTATGGTTGCATGAACTCAGCCAATTGTGGTTTATTCTGTAAATCTGGCCATAGAGATAAAAAGCCATGGCTAATACCAACTAAATACCACCAGAACTAATCATATTGATCTTTATTAATTACATTAATTACAAGTATTAATTATACTTGACAATCTTCCCAAAAGCAATATTGAGAGGTGTACAAATCTTGCCTCTGCTATCCTTTTTAATAAAGAAGGAATGGAGAGCTGGATGATATTATTCTGTAATGTGATTAACATGATTTGGGTCAGTTCCTTATATTACAAACCTAATCACTCCAAATTACCAACCATTATTCTGTGGCTTATATTGCTTAGATTAGGCTAATCATACCACTAACGTGTTATTTTATAATGTAACACTGATGGTGAAGGGATGGTGTTGGGATACAATGTTTATTGATGAGTCTCAAGTGTTCACGTGCTTCTCTTCCCCATTATTTGGGAAGCAAGGAGGGGGAATGTTGTGTTTTTGGGGCGTTTGGGTAAACCAAATTTCCTTAAATGTGGGAAATCAGGGCTTATTTTAGTTAGCCAACAAAGGAGGGTTTGAATCCTCATTTGATTTTGGTTCTTAGACTACAGTTACCAAAGCAAGGAAGTTGCATAGACAGAGAAGTTAACAAAGGGAGGATGTTCAAAACAATTTGCATATCTGGATAAAACAAACAAAACTTCAAGGAGAGATTTACCATCAACTTCATTTAACAAACTGTTTTGCAATGTGCTAATTATTCTTCTGGGTAATGTCTAGACCCACGATGGCGAACCTATGGCACGCAAGCCGTCGCCCTAGTTCAGCTCTGCCGTGCATGTACACATGCCTCCCACCAGCCAGCTGGTTGTCGGGTCTCTGCCACACATGTGTGTGGGGGTGGAGCATGTGAGGGGGGCCCCGCACGCACATTGCATTTGGGGGGTTTGGGCGATTATTATGTTTAAAAACCCAATATGTTTGTTGAGACCTTCATAAACTACCTTAGACTTTTGGATGTATGACCTCAGCAAAGTCTTGCTCAATGGTAACATTAAGGTATTCCCATCCACCCCCCCAAAACAGTCACTTTCTGAGGTCTGCCCTAGAATATTCTGGATGGTTAAAAGGAACAGCTGAAAAAAGTAGAAAGTACAGCTGGTCCTCCACTTATAACAATTCATTTAGTAACTGTTTGATGTTATAACAGCATTGAAAAAAGTGACTTATGACCTTTTTCACACTTAGGATTGTTGCAGCATCCCCATGGTCACTTGATAAAACTTCAGACACTTGACAACTGACTCATATTTATTATGGTTGCAGTGTCCTGGGGTTGTGTGATCACCTTTTGTGACCTTCTGAAAAGCAAAGCCAATAGGGAAGTCAGATTCACTTAACAAACATGTTATTAACTTAACAACTGTAATGATTCACTCAACAACTAGGGCAAGAAAGGCCATTAAATGGAGAAAAGTCACTTAACAACTCTCTCGCTTACAAACAGAAATTTTGGGCTCAATTGTGGTTATAAATCAAGGACTACTTGTATATTTCTTTCCCCACAAGGATTTTGTAAGCCACCCAGAGTCACTGAAAGTGAATGGGTGGCCATATAAATTCTCTAAATAAATAAATAATCCTATTGTCTGCCAAAGTCAAAGGAACATTTAGGGTAAGGTGTTATATTGTAGGAGGGAAAATAAATTAAAATTCATAAATAGAAATATTAGCCAGGTCAGTGTTCTCAGATATATCTTGTAGAAATATAAGGGGAGAATTTGGAAAAACAAGAGAAAAGCCCAACTTTCATAGGCTTTATAAAGAACTATGTTTGCAAAAGCAGAATTGGAGATTTAAAAAGAACAGGCATTTTAAAATTATCCAGTATTTTTTATTTCTTTTCTGCCATTGCAACAATTAGAAAGAGAGAAGACTGGAGAAATGCTAATGACAACAAAGTTATGCCCTCTTTAGTTATGTGATGAGCTGAATGTCTCTGGGATAGTACCCCTTAATTGTGATTTAGAGCTTCAAGTTCATTGGGGAATTCTGGGAGTTGAAGTCCACCCATTTTAAAATCCCTGAGACCAGTGGTGAAATGTAAAATTTGTTACTACTGTGGGTGTGGCTTGGTGGGAGGTAATGTGACTGGGTGGGCGTGGTCATTTTTTTTTTTTTTACTTTTAAAAGCATTTTTTTCTACAACCTCCTGGCCGAAGAGGTTGTAAAAAAAATGCTTTTAAAAGGCTCTGACAATCCCAGCTGAATTGCCTGATCATCAGAGCCTCCAGTAGAAAAAATGCTTTTAAAAGTTAAAAAAAAAAAAAAGCCTCTGATGATCGCGCAGCTCAGCTGGGCATGGGGGATGGGCAGGGATTTTTGCTACCGGTTCTCTGAACCAGCCACCGTCATCGCTACCAGATAGGGTGATCTGG